AAAAGAAAACCGCAGGTTAAAAATGTGAAAGTTCTCCTTATCTTGGTTCTTTTCTTGCTCAAAGCATATGTTCCACTTAAAAGGACTTATTCCTCAATCACCAAGTACAATCAGGTTCCATCAGTGTAATGGAAGCCTTAATACAAGGTCCAGATGTTTGATTGTTTTTTTTAAGCTTCCTGTAAAAACTGTTGTGATATTTTGGTGTTTGAAGTCACAGATGAATTCTACAGACCATAGTGTTCTCAAAAGCATTAATTACTTTACCGGTTAATGGGCACGCAATTTGAAGATAGAAAACACATATGTTCACCTTGAAATATGATTATAAGTGTGAGACTCCAATTGTACTAATTTGGTGGCTGTTCTGGTACCAGAAGTGAATGGGTAGAGAAGAACCACATGCTCCACTGTGAGGAGGTTTCACAGGCTCTTTTCCATTCCATTTGGTGGCAAGTGAAGTCATTGTGTGAGTGGTACAGAGCATTTGGGTCAGCAATGAATTAATTAGGAGGCTTGTTACATAAAGGCAAGCTTTCTCCTTTCAGTTCAAGGAGAACCTAAATGAAATCAGCCTTTTAAGAGCAGCTGAAAGGCGTAGAGAATGAATGAATCCTTCAAGTTCTATCTGAAGCAAAAACCAAAGGATGAATCAAACTCTTCAAATTCACAATGCACGTCAGCATCTACTTCTGAAAAATGTCAATTTTGAAACTTGGCAGTAACACAGCTGTTCTATTATAGTTGTTTGTGTTGTTTTGGTGTAGTTGTGGTTTACGTTTTCTAGTTTTCCTTATTCTCAGAGCCCTGGGGAGAAAGGGTGATAGCTTCTTTCCATTTCAGTGAGTGGTAGCAAGAACAGCATGTGGTGTAGAGTAATGCAATACTGTCAGTCTCCTCTTAACAATTAACAAGATATTACTTTGTGTTAATGTGGCAGTACTATTTAACAGTCCCTTTAAAGCAACTTTATTCAAACTCCACATGCCACCATTGCCAATTACTAGTAACAATTTGCCATTCCACATGAAGCAGATCTACATGTCATCGCAATTAGCTGGGTTTTATTTCTTCTAAAACAGGGTAATCCAGTACTAAAGAGCCAGTATATTATAGCAATAATTCATTCCAACACATCTCTAAATGATGCAAATCCTTAAACAATTTACCAATTCTGAGTTCTCTGGGTGCTGCTACTTTATAAGGAAACAATCAGTGACAGTTGCCTTCCAGGATTGGAGGTGGACCACCATGCACTAAAGCCATAGAACATTTTCTTTGCAAATGTGCTGCATATTAACATTTGAGTGTTTGTATTACAGAATATGGTTTAAAAGCCTGACCATGGCTTGCAAACAGGTACTCATACAAAATGAAGGCATTTTTTTGTTGGCCAGAGATTAATCTTCAGAATGGATTAATGTGTTTTTTTCTTTAAAAATACAACAAAAAATATCATAACAGTTGTATTCTGTGTATATCTATTTTTGTTAATCATAAACTCTGGGATTAAGATAGAGGATGCTTATTGGTATTCAAAGTTGCTTTTTAGTTGTCTTTTTGTGGAACAATGATTTCTATATTACATGCTACCATGAATCTGCAAGAGGATTATGTTTTCATTCAAACCTAAAGGACTTATTTCTTTGAGCTCTAGCCCTAACCTGAGTAAAACACAAAGAGTCATTATAATGAACAATTAACTAGTACTTTATCAAATTCAGGAGTATGTTTACTTGAAGATGGATCATTACTCTAAGATTTCAGGTCCAACCCATACTCATTAGTGCCATAGTTTGGTATTTTCTATTACATGAAATTGGGGGAAAAAATAAATGGAAGTTAAACATTTCTGTTACAAAAGCTAAATTAAGTGCATTACTTTATGTATAGGATTCACAGAGTTACTTGTGTGTATCACTTTGTAAAACTTACCTAAGTGAAATGCACAATATGAGTATTTTTTGTTAACTAAGAGATGGTACAAAATTAAAAGAAAAGATAAAGCAAATAAGGAAAGTATTTTCACATTGGTGGAGTAAAAATTTAGATAATGTCTGAAGTGCACATCAATTTTTATTTTCATTGATACACAACATGGATGTGAGTCATTGACATACTGTATAATTCCTTACATATTAAGAATAATGATTGGGGTCTTATTTTAAATTAACAACATTATGTACTGTGTTTCATCACTGCAAAGCTCTATGAAACATTTGCCTATATCAGGCAAGCTGGACCTGAAGATGTTTCACATTTTCTGTAACCTGGTGTGGACATATGTACAGTAGTATAAAGTAAAACTCTAGGAGAGAGTCCAAATTGTAGTTTCCTTTTGGATTCTTTAAAATCATATACCATGTGTTCAACAGGGCGACATTAGAAAGAATGCCTAGGATGAACTATTCAATTAATTAACATTTAGATTTATAAAAAAAACTTTTCTCTAAATAATGTGTTCTCTCCATACCATGAACTTTCCTGACTTTAGGTAATGGCAACTGAAAATGAATAGAAATGTAAGCATAAATTGAAAAGGCCTGACATCCATATTCCCATTTTTACAACCTATAGTTTGTTTTGCATAGAACGTAATCTTTTAGTATTCCCATATGAAGGTGGCAGATAGGTTTCCCATTGTGAAGGGTTAAAAAATAGTTTGGTTTGAAATTTGGCTTGTTCTTTGTGGCATTTGCTTTTCCTACCATGTTCGTTTTTAGCTTGGTTTTCAAGAAATTTTCATAACCGAGTCCTTAAAATTACAGATGGTTTCAGTTTCTTGATGCATCTCTCAATTGTTTAGTTTCTTTAAATCTTGTGAGAACTGCTGTTCTTTAACTACTGCCAATAAGCCATTTTGCGAAAATAAAATATTTAGAAGAAAACAGCAAACAGGATCATATGAGTTGTTCTACATTATAGCAAAGTAAGAATGATGGGAATAACTTTGGAAGTTTCTGATTTTGGGAGCATACACATAAAATTTAAGACGGTGTGATAGTTCTAATCGAGGCTTTGAAGGCTTCAGTGTTTCTTTTTTTGTTCCTTTCAGTGTGCTTAATGAATGGTAATGTATTTAATTGCTTACTCAAAATTACCTCCTTTCCTAAATCCCTTAGCAAGAAATTTACTGGAGGAATCCAAACAAAACAGCTCTAACTGGATTTTGGACATTTCTGCCAATCACCCAATGTGGTAATGGTAAATCAACAGTCATAGTTGGTTTTCTTTATTATTAGAAAATGTCTGAATAACATTGGATGCGAAATGTTTCACTTTTGAATGTTAAACAGGAACATCGGGGAAAAAGTGAATAATGGGCCTTTTTGCAGATTAGCCAGTCATGCTTTTTAAGTGGTACATTTATAGTTTTCTATCAAAAACACATTAGTTTTTCTTCATTTAAGTCGTAAGTATTACATATTTACTCAGAATTATGATGTTCACTTAAATATCATGGACTGTGTAAAATCCGTAAAAGTAAAACCAAGTAACTTTTAAAGGTTTTTTTAATGTACTTAACCTGAGTTGGTTTTGTGAATTGCAAGGTGTACTTTACCAATTCCTTTTGTCATTATTATTAAACTGTGGATAGATGGAATAGAGAGAGTCAGATCATTTGATAATACAACTTTGGTTTTATTAAAAATCTGTTTTGCAATCAATTTTGAACACTATATAATGCACACATTAATTATGAAGAGCTGTTAAAGGAAGGTGGCAAATTAGGATTCAGAAGATAAGCAAATTGTCAGTCTGGTCATAAAACATTTTTTTCCCCAAATTTCATGAAGCACCGAGGTTTTCATGGTTCTCTGTTGTTTCCCATTAAATTCCATAATATGGAACTTATTTAACACACACTTAATTTGAGAAAATTTGGCAAGAAGCTGTTTTGAAAGAATGAAATGGTAACAAAACAGAACTGGGAGGTAACTGTGACATTGCTTTGAACTGCTGACCCCAAAATAGGTAATACTGCAAATGAATGGTTAAACCCTGTGAAAGATTTCTGAAAATAAGAGTAAAGACATAGAGCTACTAAGCCGCTGAAATGATTTCAGACGATATTAAATGGATATTGGTTTGAATATTTTAACAGATTTTATTCCCAACCTAAAAGACTGTGTAAAGAAAAATATGAATAAATTAACTAATCTCTTTATTTCACAATCTCTGTGTTACAAAATAACAACAGCTACAAAAAAGAAGTTGGCATCGCCCACACTTACAGGAGCTCTGCACGGTTTTCTTCATTATTCTGCTGTCCCTAAGAGGCGGAAGGGAGACATGCTCAGAGAGGCTATTATCTTTCTTTGTCTTGTTGAGAACGACAGGAAAAAATTCCACGGAAATTCGAACTGATTTTTGTACAGTGTATTGTTCAGTAAATTAGGATCACAAAGTAAAACATGCATAGCAATATCTCTTTTAAGGATATATTGTGGGGAATAAAATGCAAAGAAGGCATGCTTTACACTGTACGAAGACAAATATCGACGCAATTGATTAGAAATCTACCAAAACGCATTCCTCTGTTTATCAAAGTACCTTAAAAATAAAATAATGCAGGGAAAGGACTTTGCTCTGATATCTCTGTGGATGGCATGAAAGAAATCTGGAAATGCAGTCTATATTATTGCAATGAAATCAGTTTGATATCGACGACATCCACAAGTACTGTACGCTATATTCTATGAATTGCGACGCACAGCTATGAAAATTAAAATGTCAAAATTGATGGTAGATATGCTAATTATGTCGATCTCTACTCATTCCCATCCCATTTTTTTCGCTGAGCGTAAAGCAGGAGACTTAATAATTCCAGTGCGCCCTTGCGCACTATATATTTCTGTAAAATCTAAGTCTAAAAGGATTTTGTTTTTCTTCGTTTCAACGCTTTAAAGTTCACCTGAGTGACAGGGGACTGGGAGCGGACAGACGCTGTTCAATTGGTCCCAAAGCCCAGTGATGTCATTGGTTTAGTTAATGTTCTTGGCAGTTCTGTCTGAGAGTGAAACCAGGAGCAAGTTAAAGCATTGAGCAGAGGCACTGCGCACTGCTGAATAAGAGGAAAGTGTCAGAAACTGCATTCATGAACTCAACTCTGGTGCGCCTTTATTCAACGACTGTTTTTCATCATGGGAGATGGATCACCGTATTCATACCCCAATAACAAATCGGACCCCGGGACAGCCGATTCCAGCTACACAGACCCCGGTATCACGAATCCGTGGGTGATTGGAATGGGAATGCTCATGGCTTTGGTAGTCATGCTCATCGTGATTGGAAATGTACTGGTGATAGTTGCAATAGCCAGGAACCAGAGGCTGCAAACGCTGACTAACTTGTTCATAGTTTCTCTGGCCTGCGCTGATTTGATAATGGGCTTGCTAGTGGTTCCCTTTGGTGCCGTTTTAGTGGTTCAAGACACTTGGCTGTACGGGTCTTTCTTTTGTGAATTTTGGATTTCGGTGGACGTTTTGTGCGTCACTGCCAGCATCGAAACACTTTGTGTGATAGCGATCGACCGGTACATTGCTATAACATCTCCATTCCGTTACCAAAGCTTGCTTACTAAAGCCAGAGCCAAAGGGATCGTCTGTGTCGTCTGGGCTATATCGGCAATGGTTTCTTTTCTCCCCATTCTGATGCAGTGGTGGAGAGATCGCAACGAGGCTGCTGAGAAATGCTATGCCGACCCGAAGTGTTGCGATTTTGTTACCAACCAGGCTTATGCCATTGCTTCGTCTATAATCTCTTTCTACATTCCTTTGGTGGTGATGATATTTGTCTACGCGAGAGTGTTCAGAGAAGCTAAAAAGCAACTTAAGAAGATTGACAAATGTGAAGGTCGGTTCCACAATAATGCCATTCCCAACGGAAAGCCTAATAGGAAGAGACAGTCAAAGATCCTCGCAATGAAAGAGCAGAAAGCCCTTAAGACTCTTGGCATCATCATGGGTACTTTCACTCTCTGCTGGCTACCTTTTTTTCTAGTCAATGTAGTGAGAGTGTTTTACACTGAACTAGTCGACAAGAACCTCTTTGTCTTTCTGAACTGGTTGGGATATGTAAATTCTGCTTTCAACCCTATAATTTATTGTAGAAGCCCAGACTTCAGGAAGGCGTTCAAAAGGCTGCTCTGCTGTCCAAGACAGGCTGACAGGAGACTACATGTTAGCGCTGGTGACCTGTCGCGGTATTCTACGGGCTTTATAAATTCCCTGGATCCCAGTTTAATAGCAAACTGGTCCGATTGTAACGGACAGGAAAGTAGCGACTGCAGTTTGGATAAGAATGGAAAAGTCTCTCATTCAGAATCACAGTTGTAACATTTGGGAAACTTTTAAACAATAGACATTAGAAAGCCACAGATGGAAAAATCTTCCTAAACGCTTTAGTCAGTGGCGAGGCTCCTGTGTGTTACCATTATTGTGGAAAATCTAAATATCAAGATCCGTGAGTAATCTCTTATCATCGCAAAACGATATTGCTATTTGTCGTTTACTTTATTTTTTAATATTTGGGTTTTATATTGAGCAGGTGAGCGCGGAGTATCCATCATGTTCAGCAAATTGTTGTTTTTTTAAAAAAAAACGGAGCAATTTATAGAGTTCATCATCATTGTGCGTTGGCACAGCATGAACCCCACCATAAAGGAAGCAAAACTCGCCCATACTTGGCACTTTAGAGGGGTTGCGAATTTCCAGAGACTTACCAGAAAACCGTTAACCTTTTGTGCACGGAAGCGCTTATTCTATCAGTTAAACTGTCTTTGCCGAAAGGAGGCTGCTGCCGAAACCTCGAAGAAAGCAATAGACACTGGAAAGCGATGCAACACTTCAAATGAAATTGAAACGATAGAGTATTGATAATTCTACCTCAGACTGTACGGGCTGTACAGAAGGAACATGTTTATATTAAACACGTTTACACAGACTTTATGAAACGTATCAAATTGTATTGCAAATGTAGGACCTGGATACTGCTACACTAGATTGCATAATAGTGTTTCATTGTCCGTTAGAAAACAGTATTCGCAATGGAGATGCGTGAATTCGGGAACATATTTTGACTTGAATTTTATGAGAAAGAACATGATACAAGTATTTTAATAAAAATAAGTAGGCACCTTTGGGACGTTCACTAAGCATCCTCAATGCTGTTACTTGCACTTTTTAAGCGACAAAAGCTACCGTTTCAGCAAGAAAGACAAAAAGTGAATGTAAAGTTCTTGCTTAGCTGCTTGACGGATTAAAATTATTTTTTAAACTACCGTGTCTGTGCAAGACAACAGTTTTAGGTGTATTATGTTATAAATTTGTGTTGCTTGAATCCAGACGTGTGTAGAATACTTCAAGGGACATGTACGATAAACCTTTGGTCACTCGTCTTTCCTTGTGAAGAAGACTGTCGATACGGCGTTATTTATTGCAGTATTATACAAATGTGTATGAAGTTGCATATGTTTAACAGCAGATGTACTGTAACTAAAAACGTTTTTTTATTTAGTATTCCACGTGCAGCTGGTAATTTATCAATGTATTCCATGCGTCACAAAGAATATTGTATGATGGTCGTGTATTTGGTCGATGTGCAATAAATTGTCACAAAATGACAGCACTGTGAGTATTTTCTCACACTGATTTTATTTGGTTGCAGTACTGTATATCACTTTCTTCATTCATTGAACTGTTCACGGTCATAAAAGAAATCGGCAATGTGTCAGATGTCTTTTTTTTCTAATTATCATACTAGAAATTCAGGAGGTAGTGTCAAACGCGGCACTTTCAGAATTGTCTATAGCTTTGTGCTCGCAGACAATATATTATTTAAAAAACTGAGTTTATTGACAAAGTTAATTCTATGCGCATTCTGAAAGTTATATAAAAAGATGGTGTTGATGGTTTTGTACAGATGATTATTTCGGTGCGCTTTGATCTTTGATGTCCAATGGCAATACCGTTTTTTTTTTTTACAGAAGTAGTAGCCCTGGTATGGTTTTGAAGGCATCGGGCAGACAGACGTAGTCTCAAGTTTCCTTTTAGATGCTTACTGTATGAAGTATTGTAAATGATGCGCTGCCTTCCACTTGATCCTAGCTGCTGCTGGTCTTGTGGACGGTTTCTGTGCCCGTTGCTATATTAAATGTCCAGTATTTTTTTTATAGGTATAGTAAAGGCAGGAGACTACAAAATGAACACAAATCGTTTTCAATACACTATATACATTTGGGCGTTTTACGCCTGTCACGCACAACAACAATGTAGTGTGAAGTCCATAGTCTCTTAAAATGACCATATGTGTGGTATGAGTGGTTTTACGGTGGACGTGTTTTCGTATTATGTAGCTAAGGAAAGCACATACTTTGGTAAACGAATGCATTATATAAATAATTATTTACTTTGAGACTATGGTTAAAAGTGTAATCTGTCTGAGGCAAATGTCGTGGAAATAGTTGGAAAGCCTTGTTTTGTAAATCCTAAATCCACGGCTGTGTTATTTAGGCAGATAGACTACATCTCTTAAAGTGTTGTATTATTTATCCAATATTAATTTACCAGGAAGACAGTTAGCAACGTGGTCCAAAATAAAAAATGCAATATTGCATTGCATGTTTTTCAATACAATTGTTTTCTTATTTATCGGTAAATTTATCGGTTGATTACGGTAAAATAGCTGTTTAAAAAGAGTGCGGATTATAAAAGACCAAACTGAATTCGCTCTTAAAAATTATTTTTATAAATTTTATAATAGATCGACTTGTCAAAAGTGGTTATAGCTAATAAGATTTTTTAAAAGGTTTTGAAGTCAACGTTCTACACTTCTTAGTTATATATCTGAGTAAAATGAAAATCATAGCATTAGATTTTAAGTGGGAAAAACATACATACAGTAGATCTATTCAATTCACGAAATTCTTATTTTAATGGTACCTTGATGTCAAACCATTTGTAGCCTAAATCTAACGACACTCTTGTTTTAAAATAGTTTAGACAATGGTTTTAGAAGTAAGAAATGTTTATTCCTCTCTGGAAAATATTCACTTACTACACTCCCTTAAATAGTGGTTTTATCATGCAATGCCTTGTGGAGTTAATAGCAAGATAAAACCTTCATAGTTTCATTTTGATATGCTTATTGAGGGTCAAGAGTATTTCAAACTTTGACTTAGGAAATGACTGTACATTTGTGGAAAGAATCTCTTCATTACCTTGAAGAATTTCTTATTTAACATTTGCGATAAGGGCGCTTTTGTTAAGGACAGTTTTAGAAATTGTGAAATAGTGCTGAAGTATGGGTTTTGCTTGGAATGTTTTGATATGAACTTATTGTGAAGAACCATTTCACATCCCAACCAGTTTTATATTTGGTATAGTATTTTCAGACTGAAAAAATATTGTAATTACTGTTTAAAGTTGTTTTTCCATATTGAATCGAATATTTTGATATGAAGAACATTATTGGTAAGGAATCTGAAAATATATCACAGAAAAAGTTTTTAATTGAATGCTCTGAATTTCTTTAATTCTGAGCTGACAGTTTGCCATGTGTCATTTAGTAAAGAATCCGGAACATACTTGAAACTATGATTATGGTGACGACACATACTTTATATATCTGATAAATGTATTAAAAGCAATATTTTGTAATATTAGTACACTCTTTCAACAAGTATGATAATATGGGTATTATACTAATAATGTAGTTTGGGACTATGTTCATTCTAATGCTGCTTTTGAATGAATTTGGTTGTTTTGAAGAAGAAGCAGGGGAATCAAATTCACAACTGAGGAGACCAGTTCATCTTCCCTGTCATTACAACAGCTACATAGTTTTGTGTCCACTTCTGTTGCCCCTGTACACGATAACCCATGCAAACACTTTCTTAAACACGATTGCTTGCCTTTCAAGGACATCGGGTCAAATACTGTATAATCAGTCCCAAAATAAAGACCCATTGGGATGGTCTTAAAAAGGAAACATCATGTGAAGATTGCAAAAATCAGGAGATTGTTGGCTGCATTCATTTTTTTTTAAGGAACCCCAAGGAAAGTTCTTGAGCAACATGGCTGGATAGCTTGTTCCAGATACTCACAACTCCTTGTATAAATAATGACTTCTGTTTCCAATCTTTTTCAAGTCTTCACTACTTCTGCCCTGAGTTACTTTCTTCTGTATTGATCCTGATCTACTACTTCTGGTTGACTTTGTCAACACCTTTCAGGATTCTGAATACTTGCATGAAATCAACTGATAATCTTCTTTGTCAAAAACTGAAGAAGTATGCGTGTATGGTATCATGTTAGGACCAGGAATTGATCACATTTCTCTTCTTTGAAATTTTTCCAAAATAGTAATATTAATTATTTAGCATGGCATACAACATTGTATGCAGTATTCAACTCCTACCAGTCCTACCACAATATTACGTACTGTAATCTTAATAAGCCTTAATTCAGACTCTGCACTGTCTATACATACGTGTAGTCCTGGTGAATTAAAGTTGGTCAGGAGTGCAAAGTTGCACAGTGTCTGAAAGCGTCATCGCTCTTTCCTCATAGCCCTTCACAATCATATGTCTTTCATTTCCTGTAATATAAGTCAACATTCTGATTTGTGTACTGTCATAAGTGGCAATTTATTGTTTGTGCTCTGTACTGTATGTTCTTTTTTTCTTGGTAAATTTGCATTAACTGCAATACTGCATTCTTTTGTATAGTTATATAATGGGTTTTAATGTTCTGTTTTTCTTTAAATGCTGATGCATCTTGTTTTGATTTGTATAGTTTTGACTTCAGTTTTCATGCTGTTCTTGTTTGGGATATTTTGTCATACAAATCAACATAAATGGAAAACAAATCTGCCTAGAAATACCATCTGTATTTAGAACTGGGCAAGGGCATGGGTGTTAAGGTATCAAAATAGAGTACAGATGTGTGCCTGATTGCTCTGGGCATTGGCTGTCCTGAAATATATATTCAATATCATACAGTGAATACCATTAACACTTCAATGAGATAACTTTCTCTGCTGTCGTTGACTGGTGGCCTTTTACCAGATAACAAGACCACCAAGGTGATGATAAGACATTACAGTGAACTACAGATGACAATAACATGTGCCGTTATGATATTCCCATGTATGTATGGCAGTGAACACTTTATTGATGACAACGGTAATGGTGGTTTCGTCTGTCATTACAAAGACAGTTTTCATATAACAATACACAGTTCCTAAAGGCAGGAAGTCATATGTTGTTGAAGTTTATTATTTCCTGGATGCTGCTTAGAGTGTGACTTCTAAAATGTGGGAAACTGGTTTTAAAAGTTTGTTTTGTCTAGAAACATTTATTGTATTAAAAAAAAATAAATTAAATTAGTCTTTAAGTTTCTATTGGAATAGTGTCCATGATATCGTGTCGTATAGTGATTCCTTGCTTGAATCAAATTATCATCGAAGGTCTCTCTTCATTCTAAACAATGTAAATATAAATATATTGGCCTTCATATGTGTTAAAAATCATTAGTTTGCATCCATTGGCCCATGTCTTACAATAGATTTGTTGGTACATTTGATTGCAGGTCAAACCTTTATTAATTGTAACAAACTTTCCATTTTCTGTGAGATGTATTTCAAAGAGATTTGCATACAGTATATGCACTCTGTATGCTTAAATGATTAAAACTTTATAATAAAGCCTTTTAGAGGTCTTGTTAGCTTAACGGCATTTACTACTACTAAAGAAGTCCCAGACATTGCTGGGAAAGAAAATAAATCCATATTTTTTCACCATTGCAGATATTGCTGGTGCATAGTATTGTACTCAGTCCCATATCAATACAATCTGTATTCGGCTAATAAATTCAATGAAATCAGTGATATATAAACAACCATCTGTGTTCTTAATTACTTAATTATGGTAAATGCTCTCATTTTGTTTTTCCAAGGTGAACATCATTTCTGATTTAAAAGATGGTAAGAAAGCCAATTTGGGATTTGAAAGCCTAAGTTAGAATCCACTGCTATCATACTTTTCTTGTACTCAATTATTGGTCTGGCAGGGTAATTGTGGGAAAGTTGTGTTTTCTACCTTGAATTCCCCTTTCTTTGTCTCATGTTTTTGACTGCATGGCAAATATAATCAACTGCCAGGTCCTGGTCTAAGTCTGCATTTCTGCTTTAGGAGGTACTCATAATTCTATATTATATGGTTACTTTGAAAGACACCAGATGACGCTGTTAAAATTATTTCCAAACACATTAAGGGCTTTGTTTTCCGTTAGTTTGATTATTTTACAAAAATAGAATCATGGTGATGAGTGTGACTGAGCAGCAGAGTACAGTATGTGCACTGTTAAGAGCCTGTCAGTAAAGGAAATCCATTGGGCATACGAAAACAAATTTGAATTGTTTTCAGTTTGCTGTAAGTATATCCACTTGTATTTCTCAGCTTGAACAGAATTACATCTGAAAGTAAGCTGATGATCAAGAAAGACCTGAATACCTCTTTCCAGTGAATTATGCTGAAGTATTTTATGAGTGATGCATACCATCTCTCGGTCAGCATCAGTACAGTATCTTTAGAAATCGTTCCCCCAACTGAAAAAATGAGTTATTTTGTACTGTACATTTTCAGTAAATCATGTGCAGCTCAGCTTATTGGAAGCCACTGTTTCACAGAGCAGAACTCTGAATTCACTCGGCAAATACTGACTTCCTTTTCAGGTCTGATTCATGTCATTGCCGAGGTCAAAGGGTGTAAAGATGACACAGGATTTCCTGTTTTTTCATGTTAACAGATTACCAGCACTCATTGCCGGGATCTTCAGGCTGACCCAAACTATTTAGTACAAGTAGTCCCTTGCACAAATCTGATCGTATTGGATCAGAGAACAAATAAAATAGTAGTAATTATTTATTATTGAAGAAAAGTTATAAAACATATTAATCTTCCTATGGCTGACATACCATGGCAGCCGATGACTGGAATCAAAACTAATAATGTCAAACTGGTGTGAATGCTGTTGCAAGATGTGTAGATGAAAATAAAGCAACACTTGTTGATTTTGATCAGATCATGAAGAGGAGCACTAGACTCTGGTGGGGGAAAGAATCAAAAGCAGGTCACAACATCATAGTCTGTTCTGTAAAACACCAAGTAATATTATTTAAATGAACTAAACTAGAGGTTCCTTTCACTAATAAATAAACAAGATACCATGCACAGCAGTGGACAGTGAAGCTATGGAGTGACATTAGTTCGCTTTGCAGTGTTTGCAGTGGAATTGTGCAGATAGTTTCATAGTGATAAATGTAATCCAGCAACCCGACACACGCTGATATCTGACAGCTTAAAATAGACAGATGACCGCCACTTATGCAATGATCGTCATGTGTTTTAACTTACTTTGCTTCTTGTTAAGCAATTGGGAATGAATTCTTTCTTAGGTGCCCTGTATAAGAAAAAGAATAAAAAGCCAATGATAAAAGCTCTCCAGGCCTTTAAGTTGGGTTATACACCGGTCACTTGTGATTCAGCTGCACTGACAGTCTTCACAGTTCATTTAGCACAAGATTCTAATACTGTTTGAGCCCCTTTCCTCTGAAATCAGTTCTTTCAATACTCTTTCAATAGCTGTAAAACCTACTGTACATCATACTGTAGCTCAGAGTTCAGCGGGTAAGGTCAATCTAAATTTCCAGGAAGGACAACTTGACTACTGAGTTTTTTAGTCACTGTTTTTAGGCATCAACCTCATTTGAGAGCACTGAAAACATCCCAAAAAGTATTTTAAGAGTAGGCAGAAAAAAATATCCAAAAATAAATTTGTTTTCATATATATATTAGTTACACTTAACTTAAGGTGTTTTGTAGGTCTTTGTGTCCTGGAAGGGAGCTGGCTTTCAGATGTCAACTAATTGACACCACTTAGGAAGTGTCAATGAAGTGGATCTTAAGACATTGCACCCCTTTAGAACTAGAAGGTACATTATGGGAGTACTACTGTATATCCTCACAAACTAACAAGAGTAGTTAAGAAAGCCATAGGGAAGCACTCAATTACCTAATGAGCTGACATCAGATAGAGCAGTCTTCTATTTGGTCACAATAATAAACCTAAAGGAGGGTGCTTGGGAAAAGGAGAACTGGTTGCAAAGGTCAAATAAAGCAACTACTGTAGTTCACAGAAAGAAAAAAGGTCACTAAAGCCTATTATGGATATTGAATAAAGGGATATACTGCCAGGAATGCTGCAAGTCTGTGCCAGTATCAAGGTCTCACAAGCTGGAAAACAGTTTCAGCCTTTTCTCTGTAAAAAAAAACAACTAACCGCTTACAGATTACAAAGGTTTAGAAGCTTATAGTAGGTGATATACTGTAACCTATCAATGGAAGCAAGATCTACTATTTGAAACTGATACAATTGAATTCTTAAAAAATAATTCAAATCCAGTTCTGGAACATGCAAAAGGTACAAATGACCAAGGATGTGAAAACTGGTACTCAGATGTAATTATATTTGCTTTGGGACACCAGTATAAATGAGACTGGAAAGTGAGTGATGGGATGAAAGAGAGGAAGTAGAAGGAAAGGTATTTTGTGTGTTTAACAAGTCTTGGTCTTGCAATAATTAATACGGTTTCTGAACATTTGAAAAACCTTTCCACATAGCAGCCGAGACTTATTATTATAAATGTCCATAGGTATGCTTTGCATTTGTATACAGTATATATAATATACATGTATCATATTCAGAGAAAACGTTTGTAAACCCTTTGGAATCATTTGTATTCTTGCATTTATTGCTCCTGAAATGTAATCTCATCTTCACCTAAATCATAATAATAAATAAACACAATCTGCTTAAACAAATAACACAAAAACAATGGTGCTTTTTCTTGTCTATATTGAACAGATTATTCATACATTCACCATCTATGCTGGAAAAAGTGAAAAATATGACGATTGGATCATATTTTCACAATTCTTAGATCACAATTCCTGCAGGAATACAGATCATTCCAAAGGTTTCACACTCCCCACTGTATATAATGTAAGTGAAGCTCACTGAGGATGGGAAAGTGAGACACTAACGGCCGAACGAAAGCAATTCCCTCTCCTCCAACACAATGTAAGATCATCTAATCCAACCCATTGCAAAGAATACAATACACAGAGTCAGCAATCAGGCTGAAAACCAAAACAGCAACACATGCTGTACAGCATAACAAGGGAAACATTCTTTTGCCTTTTGGATTTCACATTTCCCAGGTCAAAGGGGGGCAATATACTGTAGTGGATAAGCTACAGTAGGTGTAGAAACTCCATGGTTTTATTAACCACGTTCTTTGTAAACAAGCAAGAAGCCATTCATGTTTCCACTGCAAGGTACTGTTTGTGCAAAAAAAACAGTGTCCTCCAAAATGGCCAAACGCAGAGTGCTTTGAAGGATAAAATAAAATCTTTGCTTTATTTTTTTTTTTTATCAGGGGATAAATGTCAGAAAACAACTGAACAACTATAGCTAACCTGTTAAGTGTTCCTTAGAGTATCTCACTTCCCAGTGCAAGCTAGAAACAAAAACAGAAGTGTATCCCTAGGCTACCCAGCCAGCTCTATAGAATAGATTGCACTAGAAGGGGCTTTTGTGGAGAAACTGGCTAAGCAGGCCCTGTAAATGCTTTCTAGTTTGAAAGGCCAAGTTACTGGTGGAAAATACTTTGTCTAGCTACTCGCTGATTTTTCACGTATGTGTTCAGTTGAATATCCACCTCTGAACATGTAACCATACAGAATGGCCACAGATTAGAATTGTTACAAAGGTAATGATAAGGTTCAGGCTATTGGTAAAATTCACAAGCTATGCATTTAAACTTAAATGCTACACAGAGGTATTTAGTCCCCTTTTAAAAAATACATATTAAAAAGAGCAGTGCCAAACGCTAAAAGAAAAATGTAAAAATTATTTTTGATTTACAAGGCCATGAAGGGCATCTCTCCTCATTTATTTCTTGGTCTATGGACTAAAAAAACAAAAGAGAAAGCTAAATGAATGAGGCACTGAGAGAGAGCATAAAATTTCAGAAAATCAAAACTGGAGTTTCTGTATTTAGTGATGTAAAAAAGCAGATAAAATATTTATTGACTGATCAAACTTCACTGCAACAACACTTTCAAATAAATAATTGGTATTTTTATAAATTTTACTACCTGTATTTCTATTTGTATGAATTAATCTGATAGCAAAACTTTCTTTTCTAAATATATGGACACAGTTTTTGTTTTACCATAATTAATCAAAAGTGTCTCTCGCAACTTAAAATTTGATTATGACCATCTTTGCAGTTCATATTCAAACTGCATGAGATACTGTATCTGTAATACCATAGTATATTCTTTACAATGACATTAAAGGTTTACCTACAAACCTTAATGGAAGTCATACAAGAATGTTCTGGCTTTTCATTTTAAAATCTAGAAATTATTTTTCAAGTATTATTTTTCACACACAATCCTCTTCAGCAGACGTCAGGAAGAATGCATTTAAAAACATAGAAGTCAATACTACAGTGATACTGCTATAGCTGTTTATCATAGTCAGCCTGACCTTTCATCAAAAATGCCTAACATTGGTATCCAAGGTTGGGAAACTAAAGAAAAAATAAAATACATATAATAATATTGATAGGGACAAAGGTTTTCATCTAAAAATAGAAATAAAAGGTCAATTTCAGTCACACCAGTTGACATAATATAAAAAAATTTGCTGCATTATCAAGAGGCTTAGGTTTTTTCTTGTTTATTGGCTATAAAATTGCATTAGCACCAAATATTCAAAATCAGTCTTGCTACTCTAATGAAATGTCATAAAATTGTCCTGTACATAAACTAAATTCATTTGAGATCATAGTAGTGACTAGTCCCATATTACAGTATATACAGTATGCTTCTAATCAAAAACAAAAACATTGGTTTTACATACAGTATTTATTCACTGAAAAAGCCATATATACAGTACATTTCATAGAATCATATCTCCTTAAAAATGTTTGGCCATTTATACACAAACTTTTATCTACAAATTCATAATCACAATTAAATATTTAAATGAACTAAAATAATACACGCAAAATATTTTAATTTTTTTCTTTTAAACAAAATTCAACTGACCAGAACTTAAGATTTTACAATTTTGAATAGGAATCAGGAAGTTTTCCCTTCCTAACACAAGTTGTTTCAGTTTGAAAAGCTCCAGCATAACCTGAGGTGAAAAGGTTCAGGTTTTCTCCCCTCCTTCTCCATCAGACCGAAAACAACAAACTTTACAGAGTATTTATATTTTGATTTCTATGGCTGCCCAGCCAATTAACACTCATTGAGCCTTCATCACAGATGACATCATGAACAATATCAGGCACACACCTGAAATAAACAACACTTGAACTTCAGCCTTATTTTTCCATCATACAGTAAGTCAAAGCCTTGCATGACTATGTGCAATTTGCAATGCAAAGCACAAATAACTGTCCAAAAGTTTTAAAAAAAGAAGAGTAGAATGCACTTTGGAAAGGAGTCTGCTCACCAGCTAAGAGAATAACCTCTCAGACGAAATGAAAAGCCACAACTTTCTCCACTTCTTAATCCAGTGTCCAAAGTACATTATTTTTGCATGCATTCATTCATTGGTGCTGCTGACAGATAAGATGAAACTTTTCTCCTTCACAGTTTCATACATTAGTAGAGTATTATTTAGTGCAAAATAATATGGAAGCAGAGTGAGGTTCACTGATTTGGTATTTCAGATACATCAATAAAATAATCCTTTCTATTAAGTGATCACATATGAAGTAGATTTCTAGGTTCTTTGAATCTGAGTTCTGTTTCATTCTTTGCATAATGCCTGAATGCATATTCCCAACAAAGCAAGTTTCTTTTCCCCAGTGTACAAGAGTGTTGTTTAGGTGCATGTCAAAAGTAGTTTTCCCGTCTCAAATCTACACTATACTGTACAAATAATGCTGTAATGCATTTGTATTTTGGTAGTTCATTACTCTTAGCACAACTGGGACAACAAATGTTGGGAACAGGACATTGTGTAAAAGAGCAAAAAAAATGCACTCTACTCTGCATACATTCTAAATATCGGAGTCAGCTGTTTTTTTGTTTTTAATTCTTCTTACCCTTAAGGTTATTAAACTTCATTTAGAATTTATCATTTAAATCATAGCCATTAAAATTGCAAGGAAAATGTAATGGGGAAAAAAATGATTGCACTTTTACCCCCGTTATGTACAGAATTAATCATTTATACTATAATGTAAAATAATTACATGAAAGTGTTTAATAAGCTCTAGAGATATACTGTATACAACATTTAATCTACATGAATTTATCATACATATGCAACCATGTATGTTTGAATATATATTTGCACTTAGTTGTTAAATTGTTTCCCAGACCGGATCTGGTGAAGGAATAAACGCCCTACAAAATGTATGAATGTTGTATAACCTCGCATAACTATACCTCAGCACAATACACAGTGCCCAAAACAATACCCTTTTACAGTACATAAGTAAAATAATCCTCTAACAGTGCTACAAAAAGTAACTGAAGATGAGTTTAAGACATTTACCCATAAATAGAAAAGAAATGTACAGTTCAGAAAGAACGGGGGTAATATTGTATAAAGCCTCTGTTTTGCCATCTTAATGTTTTGAAGAATAAGCAAACAAATGCTGAAGGGTCTTCTGATAAATTAAAAAAAGTTAAAACCAAAAAATATTCTAAGATGCATTAAAAGTAGAACAAATTCATATTGGTACCAAATCATTTACTGTGCTTTTAATGCCTCTTGGAATACAGTTTATCCCAAGATGGAGTGCCTATCATTATCTAAACCTTCCCACCATTCGGGTACATTTGTCGGTAATTATTATACAATAAATACATATACATATTAAATACTGAAAACCGCTTTGGATTGTAAGCTGGTGTATGGAAGTGTTGTAAGAAATCTTGAACATTTCAGTCAGGCATGCAGTGTAGAATGTGGTAGATGAGTGTTCTGTTATTGGCTGAATATTCTCTCATCTGAAATGATAAACTGGAGCTCACATTTAGTTGCCAAATTACTCCGTAAAAAAGAAACGTGCAGGATTGGCAACAGTACAGAAAAAGAATAAGAGGCTAGAAGGCTAGATGTATGCATGTGTACAAAACCAGATCCCTTGATTTGTTTTTTTTCTTGTGAATCAGAGAGCTTTCTCTTTGTAATAAGCAAGTTGTAAATATGTACAGTTAAGTTTTACTGCTGGTAAACAATCAGTGGAAGATAAAAAAAAATCTAACACAAATTAAAAGGAGTCTATTAGAAGCTTCCATATTTGCATTGTATCACAAGAACTAAAATTAAGATTAGTGTTCGAATATTAAATTTCAGTTTGCAGTAGAGATGCATTATTTGGATGAGGCCTTTCTACTCCGATGCTTTGAATATTCGTCATTTAGGACACCACAGATTTTTGTCTTATACAAAATAGATGGAAACAAAGTTTCAAACCATGACCATTCTATACCCAGTAGACTTGTATCCCTTGCATTCACTGTTACTTTTATTCTGAAATCCAAATCCAGGATAAGGATCATTCCTTGTTTAAACAAGATAAGCCCCAGACATACTGCATCCACTTATTTACAAAGTAGTGTGCATTGGTGTTGTCATAGGTTCATGGCACTTGAACCTGACAGTACAGGCTTTCTCTGATACAGCAGAGATCAGTGGAAACAACAGTTTGCAAAGGCCAGGATCTTCCCCAGCAAATACATTCCATGGTCTGCAGGACTTGGCCGCTCTTATTTCTTCTTCAGCCTCTGTTCCAGGTCATGCTGAGTTTTGATAAGCCGTTCAATCTCCGACCCAAGGGTCTGGAGGTTTTCCTGCAAAAAAAAAAAGACACTCCAATTTACAGGTTGTCAAATTACACTTTCAATACCAGAGATCTGTTTTCTAATCAATGAATGGTGCAACTAGAGACATTTAGATGGATAATGGGTTAATGCTGGGACTTGAGATGCTATGTGTCCAGCTGTATAAGCCCGACAGTGTAGAATTTGCATATTGTATGTATCTCTGCACTGATGACTGACAGGTACCGCAGTGTTGGCATTCAGGCAATTTATATTTAATAAGTGAAGCTATAAAAGCTATTTAGAGCAGGAGAAGAACATGTAAAAATAGTCTTCAACATGTTCCCAGATGTGTTCAGCCTTAATATAACCAAGTTACAATTAATTGAAGGAGCTCTATCCTGGAAAGCTAGTTCTATAATGACTGCAATTATCACTATAGTACACAAAATGTACTATACTGTAAAAAAAGACACCCTCGGTCAGTGAAGTTGTCTTGAATTAAATATTAACTAAGAAAGGGCCTCTCTAAAGCTCAGAAAGCACAAGACTTCTAGGTGACATCCAAGGCTGATTAATGCACATTAAGGGACACTGTATAGTCTAAAATATTAGAAATGCATAAAGACAAGAAATTAATGGAAAGAGCTAATACCATAGTCTTTAATTTACTGCTTGTACAGTACATGCAAATAAAATAAAAGGGACAGTTTTTTATAACGGAAAAACCAATGCATTTTCATGAACAAAGGTCAGTGTAACTCTCATTAGGGCTTGATTACTTTTCACATCACACTCTGTAATAGTTGTAGAAGACCCCTACAATCAGCCAGGTAATGTGGATGACCACAGACACATTTCAGAATCCTAATACATTTGATAATCTGAAAGACCACATATCAGCTTCAGAAATGCACATCAAAACTGGCAAACTAAATTGCTTATGCCCTTCAGCCTTAACAAGAGTAGCCACTTTCTTAAATGCTACAACAGCTGTCTGCCCACACTGTGCTCCTTAAGTTCATTTCATTTTCTTCACAGTAGTGAAAACTCACAACAAGGATTTATAGATAGCTCCCTGCCATTTCTTTCTGAATAACATGATTACCCGAACTTTTGAGGATAAGAAGATAATCTGCCGGCACATAAGAACAATAGAAATGCTAGTTTCCTGTACTGTATCCTGGTAACCATAATGATACTTAATAAAAAACGTTTGGCAATATTTTCCTGTGCAATCTTTCTGTCTGATTCTGGAGTTTCCAAATCTGCTCTTAGACAGCTGGTGTGTCTGCAGGTTTTCTAGGTCACTTTGAAGCACCAGCAAGTGAAGAACAGGAAAAAAAGTTCACAGGTTAGGTCTTTGAGAGCCAAGTTGGAAAGAAAATCTGCAGATGCATGGGTTTCGCAAGACCTAGACAACTGTGATCTATCACATTTTATTCAATTTCTTCATCTCAGCATTAAAACCTTTTCACCTCCGACATATGTTATGGATGTGCCATCCTTATTTGATTTCAATCTAAACCAGATGGAGCCCTCCAGAGGGCTGTGATACCGTGATGAAGAGTAGGCAGTTGGCACAAGAAAAGCAAATACGCTTGTGTCTGAGGCTGTTAGTGAGGACTCTATAAGACTATTTCTTGTTCATTAGAGACACAGCATTCAAATCTTGTCACTGGGTTTCCTCTTCTTAATTCAAGCCTGAATGTTGAATTGTAATTTTTCATTCAACATGTTTTTTTGAGGGTTGCAAACATATTGACTTCAATGTGAAATGTATTTGAAGTTAAAAGGGGGAGGAAGATGAAGAAATGGCTGTAAAATACAGCCCTCGAGTTAATACTACTTTTTCGGGACCAAAACTATTCAATGAGATCAAAAACAGTGTTCCAAGGAAGCCTTTGATGGCAGATTGATCCTCACATTATTTACTTCTTTAGCCCATGTGAGCTGAAGATAAAAGGCCTTTTTGCGGGAACAATAAGAAAAGCAATCTATTTTCTGACTGTGACTTTGATTTTATTTACATACTGTTGCATTGTAATTTTTTAGAACATTTAAGAATAAAATTATTTGTACAATTATATTTATAATAAATGTAGAGAATCATTTTTCTTAAAGGAAAAAAAATTGTCTTGCAGTGATGGTCATTAAAGTTGGGGAAAATGCTAAGGGTGAAACTGGTTGCTCCTTATGGATTTAATGGTTCAACAGAATCCTGACTGGAGAACAATCATAAAGCCACAAAATGCTACTTTGTGAAGTCATATGATGTAATAACATATTGAAACAGCAGTAAATGTTTTAAACACAGTTGAGAAGCCTTTGGTAAACACAATCTCTTAAAGCTCAGGATCTGCCAGCTCTGATCCACAAAGTCTATAGTCTAGCAGAGTTGAAAGGACCTTTGCACTAAGCAAAGAGCTCTAATTATGGAATAATGGGCTCAATTAATTAAGTGCTTAGATGGAATAAAACCCCTGAAGCAACTGGTTCTAAAGCATTTGAGATACTTTGTCCATGAAAGACACTATAAATAAAGTTAATACTGAAGTTACATTGTCAAGGGTAAACAAAGTAAATTGATTTCTTTATAAAGCCACAGTCTTTTCTGGTGTTTTGATAACATTTTTTTTGCTAAAATGAACACAGAACACAGTTGGAGTGAAATCAAAATACTTGCTCAAATATAAAGGTAATAGAAGAAGAAAACTATTTGACTATGTTTGCTTAAATATTAAATCTCATCCAAATACTTTCAGAAGCTTACAGTCCTGGATAATCTACATCATATTCTACTGATCAGTAAAGAACTGTAAAGAAAACTTGATAATGAGTAATTTTTTTACTTGTCAGGTCTGAGAAAATACTTTTATTTTTTTAAAAGAAAATGAGAAAGACCATATTGGGTTCCATAAGAAAGAATATCAAAATGGACTGAATGTGATGTAACATCACTGAAAAATAAAGAGGAATATTTTTAAAATGTTAGTTAAGACATTATACAAAATTAAAATGCCACTCTCTGATTCAAGCATGTGCAAAAACTGTAAAGACCCACGAGATATATAAAAAAAAAAACAGTAGGGTAGTTTTCTAGGGTACAATACTAATAGCCTAGAAAACATTTTAAAGGTTTATCAGAGCAACCAGATCAATCTGAATTCTAATAAGAGACTGAAAGCACAGGATTCCTCCCAGACCAGAGTGGGGAAAGCCCTGAATCAATGTTCCACAGAAGGGACATACCTTCAGTGTGATGTTCTTGAGTAGTGTGTCTTCTAAGATAGCTTGTAGCTTTCTGTTGATTTCTAATGACAGCTCCAGGGTGAGCCCACTGTCCGCTGGGTGCGAGGTATAAAGTGATGCCATAATGCCTCCGCGTCGGCTCAGATGAGCTTTATTAAAATCGGAGGCTTCTGACGACAAAGCACCAGACTCCTCCCGTAAAACATAGCTCTGGATTATTCTGAAAAGAAGGTGAAAATTTAATTAACACATTTCTTTAAACAAACACCAATGTGAGCAAACATTCATACAGTAATTTGTATATTTATTAAAATCAATAATGCACCTTTTTCATTATGTCTCTATACTACAAAATCTGTTAGGAACAAAACAAGAATTAATGTCCTCAATTTATATTTTTCTTTTTAGAAACTTCATGCAAACCTTTAGCAGCTATTACTATTTGGAATAGGGATTTGGATACTGTAGATGAAGAAATGTCCTGGGACAATATAGAATGTACAACAGATGTTATTATACATAATTTGTCCTTGTTACTACCTGTCCCTAAATACTAATAGGCTCCTTTTCTATAGATTTTGCTAGTGTAGGGATATGACAAATTTATGGAGACATTTCTTAATCTATTTCTGTATTCTAAACAATATTTCTTACTTGTGCATGATGCTCATTAAATTATTACTCCATTCTTTTGTATTTGCATTTTTCAATTTTCCTAACTTTTGGCATCTGTTTTGTATGCTCAGAAAAAATCAAATTAATACAAATCTGTTACAAAATCAGTAATTCATGATGATAGTGACTTATATAGTCACTAAATTGTATTCACTGTTGCCTCCGAATTCCTGTCAAACTCCACATCTGAATTATGACTCAGGAGGCAGTAATCATTTAGCTAATGACTTTGACTACTTAAGTGGAACACATCTGAGCTTTCTAAATGACATTTAAAAAGGCCATTTATATTCCTCTTTTGATATACCTTTTACAAAATATGAAAATAACCTCCCCAGCTTAGTATAGAGCTTTACAAGAAACTAACGAAAATGTTCATATAGATTTTTTTTCTCTAATTACAAATACAGCTGACTCGACAGGCAGATTCAAGAGGATCATATCTGAAATTGCAACAAATCCAAGGAGTTTTAGGAGACTTGTTCTTTCCTCACTCTGTTAGAACTAGTTCATTATGTACTGAAAAGCATTAAAAATTCCCAAACTCTATTGTTTATAACATAAGATTTATTTTAATTGCCTCTCGGCATATATTATGTATTGTATATCATAACTGCATGACATGGCTGAAGAAAAGTAGTTAAAAATGAGAGACCAAAAAGTCATTTTTCCTTACTGTTGGCCTCAACATCAAAGCTATAGCTCATGCTCAAGCACATCATACAAGTAAACCAGCTGAGAACTACCTACAGTCACCAAGATCAAAAATGTCTTTAAACAGAAGGCTTAATGGTCACCAAATGAAATTCAAACACACAAGAACTATGCAACTCTTTTCTTAACTTTGAAACTGGTTTTTAATGTATTTTTCTTAACTGGAAAGACAATGCTATTATCACATTCACAAAGGCTTACTTAGGTCCCTACAATGTGTTTCACAGTTAGAATTAAAGAAATGTGTATATATAATTGGCTTGGAGAGATGTGAGAAAAGCGGTCTTAGTTGAAAGGTAAGAACATATTACACTCTTTAGAAATGTAAAATGAGGCAACAATCAAATCACTGCAGGGTCTAAGGGGGCATAAATATCTCATTACAAACTAATGAGAAAAAATGTAAAGTTTTTGATAACTACTAATAACTTTAGAAATGTGAGATCATTGCCTGTTTGCTAGAGATTCTAGATTATAGGTCTGAAATCTGGAATTCTCCATTGACAAAGCAACACTGGACACACAACCCTACTTCACCAGTGTGTAGAAACACACAGGAAACAAATTAGTCATGGACAAAGATGGAACTTTTGCATCTCATGTATTGCCTGATTTATTCTTGAGACTACCTGGAAAGATTCAGTAATCTACAAGGTAGGCTGCAGCAAGAGAGCATGTTTACATTCATTCATTCGGCAGGCTCTCCTATCCAAATCAATTTAAAATTGCCTCCAATTAAGAGGCAAAGGGTGTGTATAACATTAGCACAAAGCTAATGGTCCCTAAGAAAAGAAACAAAAACACACAATCTGAACAAAAACTGGACTTCTTACCTTGAACTGTCTCAGGTCCGTTTGGACCCCAGTTCCGCCCCGCAAGTAGTAAAAAATAAACAGAAATGAAAAAAAAAAATTAAAAAGGCAGACTGTGTGATCTACTAGGCACAGCTGTTTCACACAGCGCACACGTGTCTGCCAGTGCTGGTATGAAGGAAAGACTAAGCTCCAGTGTGGTAATGTAATGGTGCATGTTGGACAGCCGATTTTTTTTGTCCAAATGGTATTACTGCATTAGAGGGATTTTTAGGGTCTCAAAAAAACAACAGGGAATCAATGAAAGAAGTACCTCCAAGTCCTGTTAAAATTAAACATGAAAACCAATTTCTTCTCAGAAAAGTAGTACTACATAGAAAGGAGTGTGCATTCACTCTACGCCAGACTGCAGTGAGCTCCAAGCACAACACAAAGAATATTTATGGAAAAACCACATGCATATAATTTATATAGCCCCACTACAAAAACGTCAGCAACATGCAACAAACCACTAAACACAGCAACAACTAGAACTTTACCTCAGACACACTTTTTATTCTTGCATCGTAGTCCCAGACACTGATAAATTACTGCTAATGGAAGCTTAAGACTGAGGCCTATGGGAAATTAAGGGTGTACATAAAATACACTAGGCTCTGCCATAACCTATTTTCACTTAGTTGTCATATCTACAAATCAACATTAAATATACAATATTTAATATTAACTTCATATTATAACTAATCCATGATCTCTCACCAATGACCTTTGGAAATGCTTCGTGTTCCGATGACATTTTCTTTAAATGCTTGATGCATTTTACACTGCTTAAGTGCTGAATTATTTATCAATATCTGTACCAAATCATTTATTCCAATATAATTTTGCTATCCTACCAACGCATCACAGTCCAGGCCTATAAATAGGCTGATGGTACGCAATGTCAGAAAAGAATAATGAACGTTTTAATATGAAGAGCAATCTTGCTCAATAAAGGCTGAGTGGGTGGCAGTTGTGTTGCTGGCTAGGGCTAGCTCAAAATAGCCAAGCAAAACTTATTCCTGAACTCAAGTTCACACCCCTTAATATTATTAGAAGACAAAAGCTGATGACCGAGCAGTGAATTATCTTCCAAGTGTTTTAGTCGAGAAAAAAAAGAATCCCTGATTCAGCCATATGCATGGAATCCAAGTATTCCTTCAGTGAATTGGATGGGCCAAGAGTTCCTGTCTGACATTACTCAGACATCCTTGAAAACGGGGCTGTTCAGACTCACTTGGTCTTTTTTCGAATTTCCTCCACCAGCTGCTTGATGTGGTCTTCCATGAACTCAATCTTCTCGTTCTTGCGCGCGTGGGCTTTCTGCAGACGCACAATGCGCTCGATGAGCATGGCCTTGTCCACCTGGGGGAAGCTGTCCACGACGGCCGAGGAGCCGGAGTTCTCGGGCGAACGGTCTTCGTTGCTGCTCCGAGCGTTCAGGGATCCTAGCGGCGGTAAGAGTATGAGAGGAAGGAGAGAAAAAACGAAATAAGGATGACAACCTTACACACTTTTAAAGGGCATAACATAGAAAAGCAATTTCAAGCCCACTCTGCATTTACAGCAAACCGCTTACTGTATACCAATCAATATTTTTCTCCAGCACCTGTCATGCACAATCATCCCAGAGGGTTTCTGCAAAACTAAACACTACTGAAAGAAGTCTTAACAGGAGTGCGTACAAATATTTTCATAAGGAGCTTCCTGAGGGGATTTCTCATTTCTTCTGTCTTCCAAATTCCTGGGGCATAATCTAAAAATCCAGATCTGAACGGATGTAGCTGTGTACTGAAAACATTGTGAAGCAAGACAAGTTAAGAGGGTGGGATCAATAGTAGGATATGAAAGATTAGCAATTGCTTGGGATGATCTGGAACTTTATTCGAGGGATTAGAGGGGACATCCCAACAGCTGGTATGGGTATTTCTCACCATTCATAATTCAGATTTTTTTTCAGCTTTTAAATAAAACAATTAGCATATGTCACTTTTAAAACGTATAGCCAACTTGGAGAAATATAATTTCCATTGACTTTACCTGATGAGCTGGACCTGCTCCCCATGCTGCTGGCTTCTTTGTCATAGTTGCCATTTTCCATTTGATCCAGTTTTTTCCGAGCTGTTTGGCAGGATACATGCAGGTGAGCGTCATTCAGTTGTATCTATAGTATTTTCATATCATCCATCAAATCTGTCAGTCAATTTGAATGAGGAATCTACATCTGGGTATATCTAAACAAATGGAACTGATTGCCTTCTCAAACAAATATTTTTTTTACTTCACAAAGTCTTTTCAATGTGGTATTATTACCACATTGCACGCTGTATAGGTTGTGTATCTTCAACCTCAGACTCGCGAACTACTGTATCTATTAAATGGCAACTGCTGCATGCTTAATAATGTACTATAATAAGTAAAAAGGTTCTATTTAAAAGCAGTGACACTTGGCTGAATACAAAAGGAACACAAGAGGTCTTAATATATCCCTTAAAATGATGATAATGGTTGTCAGTAAGCAGATGTCTCTATCCAAAATGAGTTACAGAGATTAGTGGATGAATAACGCATCAACAGCTGCTACAGTCACTTTATAGCAGGCACTTCGTTTAATATCTCATCAAAAGAGATTAATTATATTGCTTAAAACAACACAGCGCGAGTCAGTAACAGGACCCTTTACTTAAACTGGATCACCTAGTTAATTTTTTTCTAACAACCAGAAGTTTTAACATTTGTGGAGGTGAAAAATTTGTGAAAATGCCTTGTTTGGTTTCTTAAAAAAAACCAAAAGTTAATGATGGCAATCAAAGGAGATGAAAACAGGTCAGTCAATAATTCCTCCTCAGTTATCTCCTCATTTCTTCATTATTGAATGTTAAAGGTGTGCTTCCCTAGATAAAGACACATGAAGAATGGACTAATTGTTAAAAACTGTACATACAGTATACTATCCTATGAAGAATTAATGTCTAAAAAAAAATTAAGATTTCAGAAATGGATCAACAAGTGGAAATGAGCAAAGTGGGCTTTTGTGATACTGTGCTAGTATCCATAATATATTTTGTTGTAAAATATATATTTCTACACCAGTGTCTGTATCAATCTACTTATCTGTTTATACACCATATTGATTAGTTTATAAGCTGTTCAGTGTTCTACATTTTTTAATACTTGAAATGTCTGCTAATCAAATAAATGGGCTACTGTCTTTCTCCTGAACCTTTTTTCCATTTGATGTAGTTATTACCTCATGGGATTTCCATTACATGGACTCACTCACCCTGTAAAAGCTGTTTGGTGAGATCTTTAATATTTGCAGTCTGCTTCCTCTTCTGCGTAACAAGGTCATCTTTTAGCTCTTCAATGCGCGTTTTCAATTCTGCTGTTTCTTTCTGTAGGGATGATCTCTCATTTTGAAGGGTGTGGACTTCCTCCTGTCTGAGCTGTTCCTCCTTCTGTAGTCTCTCTGTCTGAAATGGGAGGGGGGGGAAACAAAGCCAGTTTGATCGATGTATCACGCAACACTGTCAGCAGCACATGAACTGGAAACACAACCTCCCTGACACGTTAATGTACAATATGGACACAAAGGTTTTTTTTCCCAGGAATGTCAAAGGTTAATTAGAAGCTCAACACAAGGGGAAACGATGGGATAATCATCAGGTATTTAAATGAAAACTTCCTTATGCAGATAAAGTGTTTTATTTGTATAAGGAATAATTTCTCCAAGTAGTGTGAGCCCGCTGAGAACAAGTCTGTGCTTTTATTTTGCAGCTTTAATGAGGCAAACCTGAGTGCATAAAACAGTTTGAACAAAAACAAGAAAAAAGGTCTGCTGGACCCTTATCTCATTAGCGCAAAAAACAGCCAGTCTGTTCATCTGCTGTTTTTTATGTCTGGCAAGTTTCACAAAACCCTTGAAACTTATACCTACTTCAGGCCTGGGAAATAAGCAGAGCTGGAGTTAAAGAAGGCTGCCATAGCCTGCTCAAAGCGGTGTGACTCAACCCGAAGGACGGCCACATTCTGGGAGCTGCGCAAACTCACCAGGTCAACATTGCTGCGCTCCTTCTCTTCTATCTGGCTCTCCAGATCCCTCACTCTATTCGTCGATTGATCCAGGTGTGTTTGCAGTGTGTTGCTCTCGGACTGCAGCTGGGCATTTTTACTGGTCAGCTTCTCGGTGAAGCCAAGCAGCTCTGACTCTCTCTTTCGACTGCCTTGGATGTCCCTTTGGAGATCTGTGATCAAGGAGTTCAGGGTCTCCACCTCCTCCTTCAGGGATTGAATGTCCTGCTCATCTCTGCACACAATTAAACAGATTAAAGTGATGAGGAAAATGAGGAATAATAAATGCTAATGTAATTCTACTGTTCTGACTTATTTACCTGAAACATTTTGATTTAAGATATGAGATTTTCCATACCCTTTAGCTACTGAGTGTAGACATCTGTGAAACTGGAGCTATCCAAGACCGGGGTTGAAGACTGTAATTTACAGCTGCTATCTGCTTTTCATACTTTGCTTTGCAAAGTAATGGATTAACAGACCTGAATAAAAATTTTTAAAAGAGCACAATTTTCTCCAGCTTTTCTTTCAGTTACATTGAGACTGCCGCATTACATCTGATGCTATTTAAGAACGGGACACAAAATTATAGTTGGAAAGGCTGAGCATGTATACAGTCCCAGTTTGGGAGAAGAATTCAAAGAAGAAAAATAATATGCTCATTTTTCAGTGTTCCTAACCTTATTACATGGCTAATAGGCTTACTAATGTACATGGCTTACTAATATCAGTAAGAATTAGATGTTGCTTTAATGAGAGGAACTGTACACTATACTTTGAAATCACTTTGTGATTTTAGTAAATCTATAGTTAAGGAAAACCTGCACATTTGATCAAATCAGATCCAATTACAATGCTATAATACTAAAAGGAACTGTAAGTTGTTTCTTATTTTCCATATTTATAGCCTTATTACTCAGCTAAAGCTATTTGAAGAAATATGGTATATTATTAAGTTCTTTATACATGATGCATTTTTAATAATTTGAATTTAGTACTGCAAAACACTTTATCCATCATTATGGGAAAGCGGAAGATGAAAATGCAAAAAATGCACCTTCAACAGAAGTCACACTCCTGACTAATGATTGTGTTTATTTTAAGCCATCTGTGACCCATGAAAACAAAAGATGTTGCATTCACATCATGTCACACTGGGTTTTCACAGTAAATCCTTATTAAAATGCAACAATAATACCCTCATCTTATAAAAATAAATAATGCACTCATCTGTAATATGTCCCTAGAGCTTGTATTAATTACGTAGAAAGATTCTATTCAGAGACCAGCAGAAGAAAATTAGTTCACAAATAAGTATGCAGTGCTTTTCTATCAATATGTCTCTATTGCTGCTGGGGAGTTATTCGTCTAGACCAGTGGTTCTTAACCTTAATGGCAACCAGCACCCCTTTGGTTCCCAAAATACACGCTCGCACCCCTTATTAAAAATGGTTGAAGTAATTTGTGTTTTCAGTGATTTACCCTCTCAAAAAATCTGGCATGTCCAGGACCACCGGGAAAGTACATCTTGCATATACCCCATATTAAGAACCATTGATTTAGATTGATCACTATTACATGGCCAACACAGGAGAATCTCAGGGTGTGTCCAACTTATGACAAAACACCTTTTTATAGAACTTCTATTGTACATCCTGTAAAGATGTGCGAGTCTACAATCTTACTTCTGATGCTGGTCCTCCAGTTTCTGGACCACTTTTAGTCGCTCCAGCAGATTCTGAATTTCTGATTTCTGTCTGTTGATAATCTCCCGATACTTTGACAACTCATCTTCTGTTCGTAGCCTTTCATCCTCTAGGCATTTCACCTGCAGCACACAAGGCAGTATGTGACAGTGCACACATTAACACCCTAATTAGTAAATTTATAGCACCACGTTTCTAGAACAAATAATGTATTAAAAATACTCTTGGCATGTTATGTAACTGAAACAAGGTACAGATTTGATTTGATTTTGTCTATGGTACTTCAGAGTACTGGTGTTGATGATTCTTCAAGATTCATGATAAATTATTTTCGTGATCTTTTGTCCACGTCATGGCTTTATAGTTGCAGCATTTTTGTACACTACATGTATATTAATAACTAAAAGCTGGCAGCTCTGAGCATTTGTGACTACAAAGCTCAGGGGAAATCTGTCATTATCCCCATAAGATAAATCAAAGTGTTAAAAGCAGATGTTTGTATTCCATTCATCCATTTTCTGTTAGACACCACACTTAGGTTTCAACACAAGTTTAAAAATATTCCACAAAGGTCCAAAATATATATTGATATCAATGATACAAAAACAACTATAAGAACAAACAACACTATTTAAAAAAAAAAATAGTTCAGCTTTGGTAACACTGTAAAAGGAAAAAGCTTAGTATTATTTAGGAGTGAAAAAAGTAAAAACCCCTTTCAACACTGGAAGGGAAATGAATATATTTACTTTATGTTAGTTTTCCACTGTTTTTAAATGATATTTTTTCCATGGTATTACATTGTATTACATAATGCCATGTAATGCAAACTCTTTCCAGGGCCAGTAAAAACTGCCACTGGGTTGACCAGGTCTGTGTTTCAGGATGAAACCTGGTGACATAAAATAACTTAAAATTACTAAAGCTAAAAAGTACCGTACAAGCCCTGATGTGTGCCAACATACAGTACAACCATTTTATACTTTGTCACATTCTTGGTGACTTAAGTTTTTCAGATATTGTTTTTTTCATACAAGTAATACAATAAAGCAAGCCCATATTTAACGCTTTTTCTCACTGACAATTAAATATCAGTTGAGGTTCATGATAGTATGAGTGCAATAAGCCTGAGACCTGATATGCCAGATGTGCATCACTGGTGTAGAAAATGACTGTATTCTGTACTTTATTCAGTACAGAGACACTAAGCAGTGTTTAGGATAACCCAAATGTCAATTTGAGACAACACAGTCAAAATGTTAAGTCAAGCTCTAACTTAAGTTACTGGAAAATTCCAACAGTTTTAATTAAATCCCTTGGCCTTCACTGTCTAGTTTTGTACTGTGACGCACCTTTGTTCTCAGTGTATGTAGTTCATCCATTCCCTCTTTAAAGGTTCTCTTCAAATCTTCAAGCTCTTTTATTTTGGCTTGGTGGAGCTGGAAATATAGGGCACAAGTGAAAAACCAAACCATTTAATTGTCTTGTGTGCACTTTCAGAAGCAGACATTCCTTCTCTTTGTGTGATGCAGGGACTTTCCCTCTTCTCTTTATGTATATAACCAGTGCTAAACTGATCTCACAGGACTCCCATGTCATGTTTTTAGAGCTCCTGTGTTTTCTGCTGTTCCAGAGATTGGGGTGCCTTTCAAATGACCTGCTTGGTATAAAAAAGAATGTTGTGGAAATGTGAGCTTGGCAAAAATGATCAAGCATCTGAACATTTAGATGATACTCTATACAAAAAAAGGAAAGTTTTTTAGGTTTTCTGTACTAAAAGTACAAACAAGGTGTCATATTTTAGAATGGAGAAGATAATCACCAGTCCTTGAGGATCCTCCACTTTTCATTCCACCACTGATCTTAATGCCTACTTGAACTAAATGTGAAGAAGTGAAATAACCTGTTCTTGAGGGCTTAATTAGGTGCTAATGGAAAGATACCTGTGAAACTTACAAGATCTGGCTCTCAAGAACTGGAGAACTTGAGACCTAAGTTTGTGATTTGAATCTGAAGTAGTAATTTGAACTGCTATTTTCTGCTATTGGTCCTGGAGTGACCCTGTGCCTTTTGGCCTTTGTTCTACAAATCTGCTGACAAATTAAGCCTACTGAAAAGTATTCTGCACCCAGATTGCAGTCATTTCCCAAAGTTAACTCCTTTAAGCTCTTATTTCCAAGAAATGTAAAAAAAAAGAGTTCATGAAATTGTTGCTTTCCTTTAATCAGTAATCGTTTACAAATCATGTATATGCAAATAAGGAATTGAATTGTCATCACTTATCAAACACTAACCTTGCAAGTATTCTTACTGATGTACAGAGCCATTGTCTGAATTTTGAAGTCCAGCTTTTGGCACAGGATTAATACTATTTTCTAACATTCCACTGCTTTTCAAAAGCACAAATTGATTTTCTGAAAAAGCGAATAGTCCAATTACATATGTTCAATAAGGTTAATCAAGAGTTCAGTTTGAATAAAAGACATAAGGCAAAGGGATACTCCAGGACAGAAACAGTAAATGCTACACTAATACTTTATTGAGGGAGTAGGTCTGAAATCTTGAAATCACCCTAGAAAAGAGCCATGTAATGATGAAAAAAAAACATTTTACCTCTAACTGGTCAGTTTTTTCTTGTCTTTGCTTCTCTAGTTCACCCTTGGTTTCTCGAAGCTTCGCATCCAGCTCATTAGATTTAATTTCTTCTGACTCCTGACAGCATAGACAAGAAACAACAGTTATTCAGAGGTTATTGGAAAAAAAATCAGCTGGAGATGAAAGCAGTTCTGGTAAGTCACTCTATTTTCAATTAACATTTCCAGAGCCCAGAGTGAAAGACATGTTAAAAGACACAAAAAAATTATTATCCTGTGCTGCCCCCTAGTGAGTCTATTTCATGCTTTTATACATTTTTTCAGATTTGAGAAATTTTAATCTGTATGTAAACCTAAAATACTATGCATTGCTTACAGCCAAGGCAGTTAATAATTTGAATGTTTCATTCTTTCCTTCCTTAAACCCACATTTGTATTCCACATAAAATGCACACAAACAGAAGCTGTCATTTCCTTCAGTAGTTCTGTAAATGCTGGATTAGAATGTTAATTGTGCAGCCTGAGATATCAAATATGTTTTTTTTACGCTACATACTGTATATTTTATTGTCATCATAAATGAACTCCTTCCAGGCCCTTATTTAAATTTAAAATGCTCTAAGTCAATGTTGTTGATTACAATGCAAATGGGTTTGAAAATTTACAGCATGTAATGCTATTACCACACAACTGGAGTGACAAACATATCCACACTTTTACATATTTAAGGAGACAGACTTAGATATGGACAGTAATCCCCATTTTACTTTTTTTTTTGCATTTGAGAAACAGATTGTTGGACAGAGCAACACTCTGTCTCTATTCAAAATACACAAAATGCTAGTTTGTAAATAAGAGAAAACTAGTCTTGATAAAGAGCTCAGAACTCTTTGCATTCTTGATTATTTTATACTGTACATCAAACAGGCCAGAATAGTCCAAAATTAATCATACTATGTTTTCTGTGTAATATCATGGAAAATACTTCCATGTATCAAAGATCTAATCATTTCAAAAGAATTTTCCTGCCAATTATATTAAAATAAGGTCCTCTTAACATATTAGCATTGTGGCATAGTGGAGATATAGTCATGAACAGGAAGCCAAAGGATAGTGCACAAACAGTTCCAAAACAAGACGCTGGAAAAACCGATAAAAGAATGCTGTCATTGTTTGTCTTTTGTACAATCTGTTTTTGTGCTTTTTGGTTTGAACACACTATAGCAAAAAATGTTTTACAGAGGTACAGTATTATTTTTTTAATAATCTAAAAACTAGAATTTACAATTTCTCCTCCATGACCAGCACACACCTGGTATGTTTTGATCATTTCCTGGCAGTTTTTTCTTATCTGCTCTGCTTCTTCCTTGGCTTGAGTCAATTTGCTTGTAGTGTCTCGGAGCCTATCCTTGGTTTCCTTGATGAAGAACAAAATGTGCACTTCTCAGTTTTGTAAGTCCTGTGGATAAAATTATCTAAAAGGTCCCTGAAGATGGAACAATGGTTCAATATGATCTTTGTTTCACATGACAAGTTTGAACTTCATGAGGATTTTTTTGTATGGTATACAAGATAAAAAGTGACCTCTTCAAAAAATAATGTCCATTCACAATTAGAATACCATGTTTTTATACAGCTTTAAGACTACAAAAAACGTTAATATACAATATTTTTTTATTATTAAACAAAGGTATTAGGCCGGACATTTACTTTCCACCAACATTTTTTGTCAAACTGTACATCTAGTGTTTCTAATTAAATACAGTTTTACAGTACCTTATGTGCATCAGTTTCACTCTTTAACTTGTTTTGGGCCCATTTCACTTTGATTATATGGGAATTGACTTCCTCCTTGAGTTTCTCAATCTCACGTGTAAATCTGGTAGCCTCTGCCTCCTATAACAAGAAATAAAATATGCAGAGCGTTAGCCATTGATTAGGGTGATTTTATATAGTATGCATTCAATACAAGACTGTCCTCAAACAAAACAAACAGTGCTGATCACAGTACTGTTTTTTTTTAATCCCTAAGGATCATTTAACAAAGACAAGTGAAAACACAGAGTGTGCTCAAATTGATTGCATTTTCTAGGCATGTTGCAATCCCTGCAATTAGGATGTAAGATTGTTCCAAGTGTGACTGCAAAGGAAATGTACACTGACTTCAATTTTTTCAGAGAAACAGAATGGGGGAAAATACATATTATTTATCTTAAAATAGCAGAATATACTGTAGGTAAGTTAAAAGACATACAGTACCTATTTTATATAGTTGTATATTTATATTAAGGTAAGTTATAATTAAGATAAGCCTTGCTTCTGGGTTGAATCTTTTTTTAATTACTTATCATACCATGTTGATAAATAGCATCACCCAAGAGAGGACTTTATATTTTGTATTATAATAAGCGGAGCTGTCGTGAGTGATCCACAGTCAGGAGTGGCTTGGACAGTTGAGTCGTTGGGGTTAAGTTAGAAAGGACACTCTGAAAAAGGGAGTGGACTGGGGTAGCATGGAACTGATACAATCTTTGTTACATGGTTTAGGATAATCCACGTCTTGAAGGAAAAGGTTCAAAGCCCAGTGACCTTTGTGTCATAGAGCTGCTGCAGTCTTCCCTTCTCCTGCGTGAGCTGCTTCACTCTGTTAGCTTGTTTCTCTGCCTCCTTGTTGGCCTCGCGGAGCTTTTTTTCCAGCACTTCCTTCTCCTTGCGAAGGTCCAGAGATTCTTTCTCCCCCCGAACATATTTCATCACCATCGACTCTTTCTCTTGTCTCGCTTCCTCACACTTCTTGTTGGCCTGAGGGAAAGAAAAACAATGCACTTTGAACACCACCAAACTTCATTAAGTTTGATCAGTTTTAGCAAGCCTTAAGGTCTTTGATCCTTAGCTAATTCTCCAACACATCCAGGAAAACAGGGTTATGACTTGAAAAGTTATTAAAGGAAAAAATGACATTTCTGGCTGTCCTGTATTGGATAAAGTGGCTAGAAAATGGATGGATAGATTTTGAGGGTGAATAAAATCTGTCACTGCAACTATACTGAACATGTTGTTATGTCTGCTTCAGTGCTTCTGGTCCAAGACTACTATCAACTATCTGGACAACTATCCTATTAGTTGCTCTAGCAGTTTGTATTTCATCAGCATTCTGAAATCACAAAGGGAAACTCTCCACATTGAATGATGTGAAGCACTACTTGTGTTTCTCTAGCAAATGGTGTTGATGGTTGCCTTCTCATTCTCATTCTCATTAAAATACTTACACTCAGAAAATCTGAAATCACAACAAGTTTTTTGTTTATGCTTAAAAAAAGGAAGTATATAAACTACTGTGCCAGAGTGTGATCATAAACATAAACTGATAAACTATCTCTTCACAAAATCAGACAATGCCAACTTGACTGTGATGTCATCCTGTTTGTCCGTTTTTGCAGTGTAGTTTAGTTCAGCAAAATGAACCAATAACATGAATCAAACTTTTGCTGTAGAAAAACCTGATAGGCCAATCTCAATGAAAAGGGACTTTGTTTTCTCCAGGTTTAAAATGTCAAACTGAATTCGCTTAACAAGGGGACTTGCAAGGCAGAGACTAATATTCTTTGTGTTATTTCTTCCGATTTCCTTTGAAGTCTCACAAAGCAGATTTCACCAAATAGGCAACATTAAGGATTAACATGAGCATACAAAAAATATTTCCTTTTGTAAACTTCTTAAGTTACTTTTTACAGCACAACTCAACTAAATAAAAAAATGGAAGAGTGCAATTTTAAGGAAGAGTAGAAATAAGTGATAAGGCTTATGACAATTACTGTACCTTGAAATAAAGATGGCCCATACTGTGAATTAAACAAAATGCAATGCAGTATAATGTTATCTACTGTAGTTTCCCAGGATAGCCATCAGTGTATTCAAAATGGATTTAGAAGAGGTGGCTCCTGCTTACTTTGAATAAACAACATTAATATAGGATGAAAACAAAGAATATAATATGGTTCAGAAGGCTTTCGATAAAGATCTACAATAAAAAAATATTCATTCTTAAATTGAAGGCTGTAGGCACAGAAAAAAAGGTGAATACTCAACAGGAGGTAACAATTAGTCCAATACCAAAATAATATATACTGTATTAAGACCACTGCTTTGCCTAATTTATGTTTTTCTGATATAGTTAGGTTCAACAGAAATTAAAAAGATTTAGACACAATTTAAAACTGAGCAAACCCCTGTGCAGGAAACTAATTTTAGGCAAGTGTGGAATGCTACAAGCTATATATATAGGTTGCAAAAACAAACTGAACTATGTAAGATGGGAAACGCTGAGTATGAAAAACAATAAAAAGCAAATAGCAGATATCCTGGATGGAACCCCTGCATAACTGCCCTACCAACAAGAGAAGGAGCTAGAATGAAACAAACAACAGAGAACACTACATAGAAGTCAAAGAAGTCAATTTAAAAGTGAGAATATGAGGCACTTGTTTACCCAGATGGTTGTGGGAGTATGGAACATGGTGCCCAGCCATCTTTTTGAAGCCCATACCTTGGCTTCTTTTAAGAACTGGCTAGGCGAGAATCTTCTTACTTAATGTTCTTGTGTGTCTTATAGTAACTGTCTTCAGCTGAATGTGGCAGAAAAACAGGTCGCTCAGTGTAGTGGACTTACCTGATCTAGCCTGAAGACCATCTCCCTTTGCAGCTGCTGAATGGCATTCTTGGCAGCATTATCTTGGAAAACCAGTTTGTCTTTTGAAGCTTTCAGTTCTTTTGTCAGCTCCTCCACTCTTGCCTCCATCTAAAAAGAGAAGGAAATAAAATGTAAAGCAGAAACAGGGTTTAAACTCCACTCACACTGGCTCGACAGGCTGAATTGTGAGCAAACACGTCTAACGTCAACATTTTTTCTAACAGAATCCTTCGAAACACTTAGAATGATGTGTCTGTGCAGTTTGGACAACTGCTTCCCAGATGCTTTCAAACTGTTGGCTGAAACCAGGAAGAGTGCTTTTGATAGTATTCACAGGAACGTTATCACCATTCTTTAAAACCTAAGCAAGGTTCAGTACTGGAATGGGAGATTTCTGAAGAAAAACCTGATTACTGCAACTGGTAGTACTGGTGGAGCAGTAGGTGGCAATCTCCCTCTGGATCTGAATTTCTAAACCAATGCCCCAGTATGGTGACTAGAGTCACTATGTTGTAGAAGGTGCCATCTTTTAGATTCAACATGAAACTATAGTCTAGATTACATGGTTAAAAAAAGACATGATACTTGTTTGCAAGAATATGCATGTTTACCCCAACATCTTGGCTAAAAGTGGGCTATATAATGGAAGCATATAATGGCTCAAGAACTGTGTTCTATTTTTGCATTTGCACCCATGCAATGCAAAAATAGAACATAAGGGTTCACAAGGCTGCCAATCATACCAATAAACAGGTTAAAGGTAAACTGTTCCATTAAACGTATAGTGATACCATAATGCAGGATCTACCCCCAAAATGGGCTGTGGTCCTACAGACCAAAACTAGTGACTTATTCTGTACGACACTGTACATATCAACTCAAGCTGCCATTCTTATATATATATCTACAGTAGATAAACATTCTTCCACTTTTATTTGAAGTGTCTATACTGTAGGATCTTGAAGGCCATATATTGTATAAAATAACAATATGTAGGACCAAGTAAGGCTGGAGGTAATAATACCTCTACAAGTTAATTCATTGACAAATGTGCTGAAGTTGTTTGGTACCAACTGAAAGCTATAAATACTTTCCTCTTTACCTTTTTAATGTTACTTATATACTGTTTTTCAGTCTCCATCCTTTTCTTGAGTTCTTCTTTCATGTTATCTTTTTCCGAACAGATAGCTAAAATAAGCTCCTGATGCTTTTTGTTTTCATCCAATAACCTGTAATATATAATTATTATTATGCAATTAAGAAAAAGCAATCATTACCAAAAAGGCAGATGCACTCTACTGAGGCATATTTAAAGTTCTTAAGCACTGGACGTGTCAGACATCGCTTACAGACAGGTAGGACTGTTCACTACTGTTAACTCCTAACACTACAAATCTAAGGAGAGAATAGATATTTTACCAATGCAGTTTTTGCCTCCGTGTAGTACGCAATGCACTACATAACAAATCTACTGCACAGAATTTTAGATTACAAAAGAGATTTCTGTTTGTCCATCCAACTTGTTAAGTTAAGGCTAAAGCAGTGCTAGCCCACAGCAGAAGGAAAAAAGAGGCACTACGTACTGTATAAGTATATACTGTAACTATATTATACTTAGAAGAATTATCACAGCACTGCATGAGAGCCGTTCAAGCCGTAGACCGTTTTGTAAATACTGCACAGAGATGGGCACTGTGGCACAAAAGGAAAGAAAGCAAACTAGAAACTCCAAGCAGATGCTGAGAACTGAGAAGAAAAATAGTTGCAAACTTGTACACTCCCAACCACTTCAATCTTGAAAAAAGGAAATGAATCTTTAATCTGCCTTATCTTTATTCACCTACTCCGCTCAATTAATGGACTCTGTAGATTCTGTGATCAAAATATCAGAAATCTCCGTTCGGCAATGTGCTGAGCAGCGGGAACAGATTGAATAGGATGTCGCTGCAGGCCCAGCCTTAACTGATCTGATATTGTGATGAGGGTAACAATGTGTAGAGCTGAATTGAACGTTCCAGTGCATCCACCGGTTTTCGGTAGGATTAAGATCTGGAGATTGTTACAACCCGAAAAGGTGATTGAAATCTTATGCCCCTGTCAGCTACCAACTGTCTAACTGAGAGTCACTTGACTGAGTCAGTCTAATATTTTGCTGGCGTTTGCTGGTGAGCATATACTATTATGGACACCTGGAAAAAGCCTGGCAGTTCTTTATACAGCAATCTGCCAACGCTGTTACTTTTTATTTAAGGTTAAAGAAACTTACAGTATAAAAACCAACACAGCTCAATGTTTAGTGCTGCAATTAATAGGTTTATTCCATGCTGAAAAAAGAAGAAAGAGAACACAACGTTTCGGCCGTGGAGCCTTCTTCAGGTGACCTGAAGAAGGCTCCACGGCCGAAACGTTGTGTTCTCTTTCTTCTTTTTTTCAGCATGGAATAAACCTATTACTTGTTCCTTTGCAGCCTACGCATGCTGACGCAGCTACCCACCTGAACTAGTGCTGCAATTAGCTCATTAGATCAGCCTGCTTTATTTTTTAATTTTCCACTACAAAATTGTTAGCTTATCATAACGGATAGGGTATTAAATGCCATAATTGAAAGAACATCAAAACAGAACAACATTTACAAAAGTAGTCAAAACATGCCCGTTTGATTTTTTAGATCAATTTTAAAACGTACTGATGAGTTACGTAAATTGTTGAAGCTTCATACACTTACCTTTTTATTGCCTTTTCTTGCTGTGAACATTTATCCTGCACACATTTTTCAAACACAATTAGAGAGTGTTGGTCCTTTTTCAACCCATTGGGTAAACTACCTTCATCTGTAAACGGGCACGAAAGCAGCTCAGATTCAATCTCATCTAACAAAGACTCCTGCGATATTGAACGCTGGATTTCAGACATCAGCTTCTTGCTGCACTCGGTGTCATATGGATTTGTTGTGCTTGAGTTTTGTGAGGGCTGAAAATCATTTATGAGCACCTGTCCTTGCACAGAATGGCTTTTCTCATTGGATGGTGTGCATGTACTGCCCTCACCATCTCCCAAGTCATCCACTGCTGGGAATGGTGACTCTCTAGTCTCTTCTATAGCCACTTCTTTGGCTTCAGGATCTTCGCTCCCATCCTGAGTTGGAAACAAATCTTGTCCGTCTTCCACAAGTACATGTTCAGTGCAAGACTTTGTCAAAGGAAGGGGGGAGTGCTCCGATGAACAATCATCCTGGGGTTGCGCAGTTACTCTGTCTTTTATCTTGGTCGTTGTGATGCCATTTGCAGTCTTATTATTCCCGCTTGCAGCTGTGGATAACTCAGGGCTGTCCTGAAGCGGTTCCTGAAGTCTTCCATTGGCTGCTGGGAACTCTGTTTGGGACACAGGTTGTTCCATTCTGTCCTGTGATATCTGGCTTGAACAAAAGATACACAGTTAAAGCAATCAAAGTCAGCTGTAGCACTCTGACAGAAACATGTTAGCAGTCTTCAGCAGAACAGGGAAAACGACTGGTGTGAGATTTTTCTGCTTCACGCACAGCACCAGACAAGCCTCATTTTCGACAGAACAGGGCAAACCTGCAGAAGGCCTGTCCCGTCTTCAGGTTTCGGCTCTGTTTCTCATTTCGTTCCTCTTCAGAGGTGTGGCGTGAATGTTCCCGGTTCTCTAGAGTGCATTTCCTTTGCAAAAGAATGCAAAGGTGTGGTGTGCATGAAAGTAATTGTTAGAGTAGTCCTCTATGAAAGTGTAAACTGTTTTGCAACTCAGGGGTGTGGACCCACACTACAGCACTGCCCTCGTACATCTATTACTTGCATTATCTTGGACATATGTGAAGCTTCTGTCAGTTTATTGCGAGACATTTTAAAAGCACTGCATGATTGGTTTTGTTTTCTGAAAATTCAGGCCTATTTCCTTCTATGCATCAAACTCATGTCCAGAGATACCATGAGAAGAAGAAATGAATCCGAGTATGAAAGCTGTCATTTCCCGAATTAAAACGTTAACCTGAAAGTGCAAGTAGAATACCAAGCTATGAAATTCCTGTGCATAAGGTGAGCTTAGTATCTGAATAAAACTTTATTATGGATATCTTTATTAAAAATAATACTTTTCCATCATAATATAAAAACATTTTGCATTTTGAATATTGTTTATATTTAGATATAGATTATTTTATGTCTTTGTCAGCATGATGAAGACATTAATATTAATGATCAAATTGTGAAACATGGAGCTATCATACTATTATCACGTAATAATAATAAATAATAATAACAATACCTATTCATAAATAGTTTCAAAGAGCAGTAAATACAGTTATATACAACACAAATTAATCAAACAAAATAAAATACAGAATAAAAAACAACATCATATCCAAAACAATACAGTAGCTAAAATCACATAGAGCCAAAAGCTTTCTTGATCTAAAATCTGCCATAGACTGGGTTGCCCTGATATCATAGTGCACATCATTCCAGAGAAAGGGAGCAACAGAACAAAAGGCACAGTCTCCCAAAGAAGACACCACAATCCTTGAGACACAGAGATTAAAGTATTCATCTTTAACAGAATGACTCATGTGCTCAGTCCTCCATGTCTTCCTTCTGTTTACACTGTAACCATTTCTACCTACAGTAAACATGTAATCTACTGCTAATGATCAAATGCATTAATCTGATGTCTAGTATTCAACACAAACATGCTGGTATAACATACTTTGAGATCTTAAATATCTATATACAGTATATGGTCAAATCAGACATAATTGTAGACCATTAAAATTATAAACTAACATGAAATATTACACAGCTTGCAGGCTGCAAAAGATCTAGCAGATGTTAATTCAGCACTGAAAAGTCTAAAGAAGAATAGGCTGTTGGAGCTATCATGGAGCTTCTTGAGGTATTAAAAAATAAGTTATTATTATGCAACCTACTGCAGTCAATTATTTTGTTTTAAAATGGTGTCTTGTAAGACTTACATTTTCTATTTAACCTCAGAAATAGTTTTTTTCCCTTAAAAACAATCAAGTACGCTATATATTGTAATATGTTACAAGAGCATAGTATTACATACAAACCTAGCTACAGTAAATCACACTCCAGTGAGCCATTAACAAAGATTAGTAAGACTCCATCAATGACCTCGTATTATATCTTACTACTAGGACCTCTCCATTTATACTACTGTCACGTCTCAACAGGATTGTTTCTTGAATGAATTAATATTTCTTGAATTATTTTTTCTTTTTTTCTCATCCTTAAAACTTTATCTAAATTCATCCTCAAATCATGCTACATTCTCAAGGCTACACTGTTTCTGTATCTGTTGAATAATCTAATCAATACTTGGGAGATGAAAATGTTACTTTTCTTTTAAAACTTATCAGTTCATTGACATCTCTTTACACATACAGTATCACAGCACAGAAAACAATTTCAAAAGTATTTTCAAAACAAATATGAATGCCTCTACCTTCTTGACACCTTTAAAAACTGATAGTACTTCACACCAAATGTTAACACCTACAACAGCAACATTGGGTAGAACACAAAGATAAAATAAGTCAGATTCTCTTTCAATTCTAAACAAATCCAGATTTTTGTACTGTATGTCCTTCAGGAGATTAGTGATTGATTAATATAAATATTAAGGAGAATGCACTTTTCAAAAGACTGAAAAATTTAGTCTGTCTAATAACTTAATTAAACATCTCAAGGTAATATAATAAAAACAAATGTTTCATTTGGTCAAGAGAATCAGGTCCATTAAAAAGAGAAAGAATCATCATTCATTTTAAAGTAACATTAATCTCTGCACTGCAATACATTTACCTGAGATCTGAATTATTGTAGCTTTTTGCTTTATTGCACGCTGTTGAATTTACAATCCAAGTATTGTGCCAAGGATTGAACTCTGAACAGTATTACCATAATGAACATATGAAGATAAAGTTATTTAGTTGTTTCAGCTTCAGGCTGTGAACATCTTTGAGATTTCTAACAGAAATCTTGTTTTATGATTTTAACATTTTTCACGGGTAGTCAAACAATGTTTCTTCTTTGTCATGTTAGTCACTTGCTAATGAATGACTTGCTAGTGTAACTGCAGAGAGTAAATGAACACTGACAAAGCTTGTACTGGTCTTAGTCAGGCTTAAACACTGTCTACAAGTCACATAATGATTCATCTTATGCATAAACAAATGCAAGACTAATGCAAGGTAATATTTTTAGGAAAAGATAACTGTAGCTGAGTTATTAAGGCACACACAGAAAAACACATCCGCGTGTGGAATACAATACAATAACCAAGGAGAATGATAATTGCAGGCATACTGATATCAGACGTCTAAGAACCACGCAGTGAAAATAGCTATTGGACTTTGCTGATGAAACATCTGAAAGGGCACACAGATTCACAGCAGCTAACACCTTTTATAGTACAGTATTTAGGACATTTTACCTTTAATCTAACAGGTTAGTAATGTATTTGCTTAAAGACATATTTATTTGCTTCTGAAGCACAAAGGTAAACTGAGAAATAATGGCTGACAACTAACAAGAGCACTGTGGTTTCAATTTTGGCAACAATCACAAAAGCATTTAAGAATTTAAAGTATAACAATGATTCTTCTAGATCTGTAACCAGTCACATTAGTTTAAAATGCCACATAATTACATATAAAAAAACCAAAAACATAAGTTATGCTTAAAATATCAGAATGTGTAGCTGCTCTGAATGCCCATATTCTCGCTAGTTATTATTCTAAATACTTTTTCTATTTTTTGCCTATTTGATCTTGAAATATTTTCTCACCTACAGTCCACTGGAAAGAAGTGATTTTTACAGAGCCTCATTAGCACTAGTCCTGGGCTCACTTACCTAAATATAGTGAGCAAGGATTAGAGTTAACAGGGTTTGTGAAACTGCTGCTAAAATGTAGATTAAATCTGTATTTCAAATTGATTATTTGTTTCCCATTGCTAAGATACAACACAATTGACAGTGTGGAAGAGTGGTAAGGGCTCTTACCCCATTTCCATAGGGGCTGGGGTTCAAGTCTCTATCACAGATGTTAAATTCTCAAAAAATAGATTTGATCCTGTGTGCTCCACTCAATCCTTTAATTTGTAACTTTAATCCATCCAAAGCACTACTAGGACTGCTGGTTATCTTAGGCAAATGGCACACTGTGTATTTACTTATTCCTTTGGTTGTCTCTTATTCATGCCTATTTTTTTCACAGGAGTTCATATAGATTCTGTATCATTTCGTAGCCACCTAGATATTAATATTGAAACTAGGAACAATTTTCCAAATATGTAATCACAAACATACCAAGAAACATCTCTTCTGCTGAGCTGTACTTGAATGTTTTATATCAAATTACACTGTTGTAAAAGACTGCAATAAAACTTATACAATACTTGGTCTACCAAACTTAGTACCATAAAGAGACTGAACATATAATTTTTGTTCCGCAAATTATTAATTGAAGTGATAAGGTAGTTGTCAAATGAGCGTATGCTATTATTTGCCATAGTCACTGTTAAAAAGCATGTATGTGTATAATCGAAGAAACCTTGTGGTTGTATTCTAGGAGTACATACAAAAATAGAGACTGTTACAGTATATTGTATTTTAAAGTGTCTCCTAAACAACATATGCTCGCATGCAGGCAAAGTGATCCAGAGCTTAAGGTGAAAGCCTTAGAACCAAAAGGTTCCTGGTTCAAGACCCAGCTATGCCACATAGCCATAGTGCTTAATCCCCAGGCAAATTACCTAAGGCACTCTGTGTTTTATATTTTGGATGAGACATAAAAAGTGCAGATAACATTTTCATTAATCTTGCTGCAGTAGCAGATCAGGGAGTTCACTTAATCACAGTGTCTGTTAGTAACTTTAAATAAAATGGATCAGTGACTATTTACAATAACATGACTTGGTATGGTACTACAGTAATACAAATATTCTTAGCACACACTTTCACACCTCACACCTTTTCTGTAACTAACGTGTAATCGTAAAGCAACAAACAAGTCAGAAATCCTTCTGTACTGTAAACTACACTTTACGCTTTTACCTTTCCATTTCAGTTCAACAAAACGAGTTTGAAAATGTAAAAAAATCATGTTTGAAAAATGAAAAAATATATGTTTATATTTATATACACGTTTCGGATACGTTTTTGGTCCTTCATTTGTTTTCCTGTCAATGCAGTTGCCTGCGGGTCAATGTCATTCCACCTGCATTGCATACAGCTGCACATTCTGAGAAAAATCTACACACGTCTTCCTTTCGGTTTAGATTAATCATAATTATACGTACTAAACTGGTAAAAACAGCTAATTAAGTCCCGTCCATAAAGCTCAGGCTTTTATATAATTTTAGAAAGAGACATTCCTTACACACAGAGAGATAACAGAGCAGGTGGATACCGAATACAAACAGGAAATAGAGAAAAAAAAACTGTCCACAGTGAATACTAGTAACATAAACGTCGTTCCTACATGGGCTGCAGAACCAATCGAAATATTATATAACTTTATTTAGGCTTGCAAATGAATTCTTAAAAAATACGAGCTCTGGTGTCATTTTTAGACGTGTGAACCTGCAAGCGAGCAAGTACAGTAACACACCTTCTGCAGCCCACTGTCAAAACTAACCTGAAGCAGCCGGATCGCACTTCGCGAACTGGAAGTATCTAGAACAGCGCAGGATCCGACAAAAATAAACAGACAGATGAAAGAGTGAATGAAGTATACTTTCACCCACCCGTTTAAGATCGCTTCATCATCCGCCTATAATTTTTACAACAAAAATAAACCCAGGGGTCACTTTCTACCTCTACCGAGCCGCTCCGGGGTGACACATCAACAAAGATGGCTACCCTAGCAGAAGCAGCTGCCTAGCGACCCAGCCTATAAGAATTCCGCTTTCATTTGATGTCAGGATTTTTAAAGGGCGACGGATCCTGTTTAAAGGGCTTTTCCCTTGCATTTTCGATAGGAGTAGGATGGTACCTGATACAGTACTGTAGACGGGGTGGGAGTAGGGTGATGCACAGCTAAGGTACTGCAGACAGGGACTTTTCTTAAATCCCTTTGGTGAAATGATTCTCCATGTAATGATAAAAATGATCTTTTGTCTTAGAAGTAATACCTTAGTGTAAAATATGAAACGCATATATACAAATATCCTGCATAAATGAAGGAGATGCATTGCTTTTATGCATTGGATTTAAAGTGAAAACCTTATCTTTTATTTCGAAGGAAAGAAACAGTCCTAATAATACTGTTGGCCCATACACAACAGGATAATGTTCCACGTGACGTGAAAAGTAAAGGCTGTTTATTTTTTTAGCAGTAAATAAATAAGGTGTGCAAATAATGACAATGATGCTTAGAGTTGATTGAATAACTGTGACTGTGTGACATTTTAAAACTGCCCATTGTATTTAATACGTCGCTTGATTGGATCTGCCGTGCAGACCTGTTAGATAACTTGTATGTACAGGACGTTTCTTGAAATAGTTTTAAGGCCAATTTTGCAACGCAGCCCTACACAAAACTACTGTTCGAATAATACAAATGTAATTAAATGGTGTTCATCTAACCAAAGATAAACCCATATAACTTTAATTATGTGCTCCTGAGTTTTTCTCCCAATCGATGTGCTCCCAATCACAATAGGATTAGAGCTTGGTCAAAACAGCCACATATTGGTTTTAGTTTTATATACAGTACATTTTCTTCACTTGAGAGCAATGTTAAACGTCAAATAAAAAAAATAATTTATTTACAATATAATTAATTTAATTGTTACACTCGAAGTATTCGCATCACGCTGTCCTTCGACTTTCAAAGTGAGCACACGTGGTTGCTCACGCATGCGAGTAAAATGGAAGGAGATGGTAAACTGTTCTGCGGGAAAGAGCTCACTACAGGTACGATAAAAGATTTAAAATGGTTAAAAAATATGGCTTATTGAACCATTTAATCATTTAAGTGTCCATATAGTGTGAACATTAGTGTACATTAGGCAGTTTAAAAAAAGACAACTAAATATTTTTCATAAAGGAGCATATTATGTGTCCAGTCACGTTTTTGGTCTCCACTCTTTCCAGCTAGTTGACCAGATCAAAACATCAACACGTTTAGCAATAACGTTTGATATTCAGCTACAAATAAACAGTACTGCCAAAACAGGTAAATCATGAAAATGTTTGTGTCATGTGAAAGTTGCATTTTCAAAAAGTGATGAGAATACAGCTTATCTCCAGCGTGGAAATTCCGTTTAAGGAGGCCTTGGCACTTCGCATTTCATTTGTATAGTAATTTGATCGGGCGGTCCATGACAGCGCGCCACAGGTTAAATGTCATTGGTTTCGTAAATGCGTAAGATGTCGTGCATAAATAAATTTAACTAATAATGTACACTGTCTGTTGTGGACGGAAACATAATCTAATCGGTTACTTTTATTTCAGTACTCTAACTTTGTGGAAAAACGTTAATTAATTAAGTCAACGGAAATTTCTAGAAATCCACCCGTTCCCTAACTACATTATATACAATACAATACTAGAAATCTACTTCAGTAAAAGTAAAAACATATAATGTCTAAACAGTGCTCGAGTACTTTGTTGTCATCAGGTAGTTAAGGCCATTCTCCGTGTTCAGGATGCCTGCAGTGCCTTGAAATTCTGCCTATCCCCCCCCCCAATCAGCTTCTTCCTCTTTGTTTGGTTCTTTTGTATTGTATACTGGGCCACATCATATTCATGGTGACATTTTGAAAAGATTGTGGAAAATGTGAGACATAATCAGTGATGGTTCCAATGATCTTCTCCAGACTGTTGAGATCATTACACTTCATTCCAATGGAGCTGTTTGTTCCAAGCAGAAAGCAGTCTGTAATGGTGGCAATGCATTCCACTTTTAAAGGTCTTTAAACTCTGATACAGTAGCTCCACAACACTAAATGACTAGAGACCTTGAATTATGTACTTCATCACTGCCTTGTCCATTGTAATAATCACATGACGATAATGTATCATAATGATGTATGATTAAAAAAATAATCTTGTATTTTTACACTTTATAACATTCCCATTCATTTCATACCTATATAACATTCTTGTAAAACATATTCTTTCATTGACTTAAATTGCTGTGTTTGCTGAAACGTCAAAAAGTGTTTTTTTTCACCACTGTTAACCATACTTATACCATATATCTATGGCAATAGTGACCTCACAATTCCCTGACATTTCAAGATAGAAAAGGATTTTACAGTTGCCCTTAAATGAAATGATGTGTAAATTTTGGGGGCCTGACAATACTTCTGTGAGCTTTTTGAAATAAAAAGCATCATGGAAGATAAAAAAGAATCTGACATGCATTGTTTCTTTTACAAATGAATGTTCGATTAATAGCACATACCTTCATAAGTTGATGTACACTGTCACTTCCACAGCATTTGGTAAGAAAAGAGAGCGTGTACTGTAAGATGCCAGGATGTTCCTTTTACCTTTCTCAGTTCAATTAGATCTTTGAAGTAAGTCCATGGACGATTTGTACTCGGTCATCTCCAGTATAGGTCCAAAGAAGTATCGCCTCCTATTTTTGTTGGTTTTGTTGAATGTCAGTTGTTTATTTTCAAAAATATTTTTATTAAAAAAAGACACAGTCACCAGAGCAAACACGTGGCCCAGCTTAATGTAATAAAGTTCCTGGCCTGAATAAAAGTCACGATGAAGAAGGAAGGGATGACAGATGATTCTATGAAATGTGCAATATTGTCTAAAATGCATATTTGTAATTAGACATATCCTGAAAACTAAGTATTTAAGTAGAGAGCCTTAAGTAGCACTCAAGTAACATAACACTTATTAGTCCTTCAATTTCCACCTCTGTTGATTTATTTGGCATTGATGTAGTTGTCCAGTTTGTTTAAAAATATTCAAGAGGATATTCCTCTCTGAAGTGAGAATAGGACAACTCTCAAGGTGTAAATGTTTCAAATGTATTAAAGGACAATGTGTATCATATCTTTCTCAATATGTAGTGATTTGCATTCAATAATTTAACTATATAAAATGGAGAAATGTATGTAAATACAAAACCTGCCAATATATAGAATTGGTAAATAGACAAATTAAGTTCTTGAGGTGGTTTGATTTATGATGGTCTTATAGTTCTTATGTTAAGTAGCTGAATGTTTACAAAAGGACAAACATACTATTTTTTGGTACCTATTATTACTCAGGAAGCAACACCTTTAACAATGACAAGGCCAGCTGTTTAAAGATTTGCTAATGTAATAGCAGAAATTAGTCTGACCCTTTCAAGTCAAGAGTTTTTAAGTAACATTTTACAGGCATTACTTGATCACTGCTAACGTGATCCGTACATTACCACAGTATAAATATTATTATATTGTGGGATTAAGTGAAAAAGTGAAAAAAGCCGCATATTGTATCCTTCCAAAATGCATGATGTTGAAATACCTTTCCTTCTGATTTTTCAGCTGTCTGGCCTTATCCAAAAATGGCTGAAGGCTGCACAAGATTTGAGGGCTCTATGTCTCAGCCTGTGGTGACCCCAAACCTGCCACTAAGACGACCAACATCCAGCCCCATAATTAAATCCAGTCAGTTGGAAGTGGAGATTGAATCTTCATTAACAGGTGGAAAGAATTTCCAGTTTAGCCTTGCATCAGAAGAGTATCTAGGAAATAAAAGCCATGGCACAGGTGACTCTTTATTAAGCTTATGTGAAGGCTTTTATTTTTCAGAAGGGTAGTGAATAGAGCTCTGTGGTGAAGAACAGTAATTTATTAAGATTGTTGTTCCATTTAGCATTTCTGGACACAGGATAGTATAGTTAGAATGCCTGGACTTTGTTAGAACTTGGACTCTTGGAAATTATGTGTTTAATTAGAAGGTGCAGCACAGCTGCTGTACCCTTGAATAAAGTACTTCACTCAGATTATTCCAAAAGAACATGTTTATAAATGCTTACTCTCCAGTAGAGCCCTGTGTGGGACTGTTTTTTCTATATAGGTCCTGCCCACACCTGCCCGCCTGCTCCTGTAAGAAATCATGACCATACCTGCAGTGTTTTATTTCATATTCCATAATTCAAGCCCCATGTCCTTCCAAACAGTTTTTATTATAGGAACAAAAGTTTGCTATTTTGGTATTTTAGGTGGATCTAAACAAAGAGTGCATAAAAGACACAGACATTGGAAGAACAGTTAAACTGTAAACCGAAGGTGCCCCAGCCTGGAATCAAACCCAGGACCCAAGAGCTGTGAGGGAGCATCACTAGCTACTGTCACGCCCTCTGCAGCCAGAGGGCGCTCCCTCTCTGTCCTGTCCCTAGTTTCCGGTCTGCTGTCCTTCCTGTCCCTCTCTTTCCCTTGGGCTATATATTTCCGGGTCTTGCACTCTGTCCTCGCTCAGCATTGACGTTCGGATGTCCTGAGACCCGCCTAGCACCAGGGCGCCCCACGTCCGCTCCCTGAGGGCATGGGTTTCTATACGGCACTCCTGAACTCTTTGCACTATGAGCCCGGGTCTTTTTCCGCTCTCCTGCTCCCCACGGTTTGTCCCTTTGGACGTCCGTGACAGCTACCATGACACACTGCTGCCTTTAAACAACAGTCTTATTAAACCTTGTTTACTGCAAGTTTAAAAGATGTGTCAAGTAGTAACAATGAAACAAGTGTCTGAATTCACAATGTTTGTTGTTTCGTTGAGTTGCAACGAAAACAAAATTTTCCCTCACATACATTACAGTTGCCGGACATGTTGCTGCATTTGTATGAAATGCATATTGTTCCTTTAGAAGCCAGTACATAATAACAGTTTTGCAGTAATGTGTAAAATAAACATTAATAAGTAAACAAGAGAAGTGACTTATTTCAGATCACAGCACCATTTGTTGTCCTCAAACTTTGATTTAAGAAAAAAGCCATTAGGTTTTTAATATAACTCACAGGTATGAGATACTGGCATTAGACATTTTAACCAGGAAATAAGACAATTATTTTGATGGGAGGTTTCAAAAGAAAAATAGCAAGTTATATCATTGTTACAATTAACTAGGGCTTACAGAAACCTGAAAAATAATACATTTGAAATTTTTGATTGAGTGTGACATTAAACTGTCCTTAAAATGCTCTTGTTTTTGGACTGTGTCTGGAATAACCTATCCCTTCAGATGGGCAAAAAATATTAAGAAATTATGTCCAAGTAGGTCATTCATTGAGTTACTTAGAATAGTGGCCACTGAAACTGTTTCAGTTGTCTAGTACAGAATACCTAGTAGACGTCTACAGTATTTTATATATAAAATGTTGAAGCTTTAGTTTTACACTGTATTAACACTGTATCTGCAACTACAGTGTGTGTGAGTGTTCTCAGACATAAATGAGAAATCATTATGCTTGTCATTGCTCAATATATATATATACAGAGTGAATCAAAGTTTAGAAGAATAAAATGTGAAAAGAGAGATGCTACACCAGCAGAAATGCATTTATAGTTATGAGATGAGCAATGCTGTATTTTTTAGCACCAAGAGAGGAAACTAATCAAAATGGAAATGGATCCTTATCTACTGAAGGAATTTCTTTTGTAAGTAATAAAGTCCTGTGTTTTAGTTTTACTATCTCTGCCTGGGTATGTGGAAGAAGTGAGCAATTTTAATTGCTATGTACAGCTATGACATTTTGTAGCAAGTGAAGAATAACATAGTTATTGCAAATGATAATTCTTTATGTAAGGATTTTCAAACAAGAATTTTAACTCTTATGTGATCAGAAGCTAACATGTTAAACAATAAAATTGTGAGTAATTGAAAATGTGAGGCTAAAAATGGCACGTTTTGGGATTTTAGCTGGTATAATGGTAGAAAAACATTAAATGATTAACACTATTATTAAGTATTTTAAAGAGTGGTCTATATATATTGGTACCTGTGTTAATGTATTTTTTTCGTTTAGATACCAACTTTTGAATTTAAAGTGGCAGCTGAGAACCGAATTCCTAAGAGCTCACCTGACCTTCCATCTTCTTTTTCTCTAAAATGCAGACAAAGTCTTTGGGGTCTCCAGGAACTGTGAAAATATGTCACGTCTGTCATCAGAAAGGTCAGTTTAACGTTATACTACAGAAATCACTGTGTTTGAGCTGCACATTTTAGTATGCATCTGCTCAAGACATCTTTAAATTAAACTAGTTTTCCAAACTGTTCATTCATTTAAGTAAAAAGTGAGGTGAAACCCATTGTACATGTAGACCTTGAGGAACAAGTTACCCATGTTTCTTAGTATAGGTTTTTTACGCTGCTCTATTACTGTTCCTGTTCTGTAGACAGTAATATGTACCATCTCCAGTTTGGAGAGCTTTCCTTAACTTAAACCTGGGACCTGCAAACAGGATTATAATGGAGGATTATAAACAAAATTAAAGGTGAAATCTTTTTTTCTCATTTTACAAATATGCCAAGACGGATGTGATGACAAAAATCCTTTTGCTAATTATTCCTCTGTAAAATTCCTTATTGTTTCCGTTTTTCAGTTATACTCAATCACACTATTGTGCGCTAAAAACTTTTTGTACTGTCTGAAGCAGCATCAGTCACCATAAATTAGAATAATATATACTTTTCCAGGGGACTTCTAGTCTAGTCTTAGAGGGCAACAGTCCAACGGGTTTTATATTACCTCATAAATTATGAGTAGTTTAAGACATCAGGATAATCCTCTCAAGATTTTATCTGGATTTAAAATGTCTCGGTTTTAACATTCTATATAACAGTCAAGTGAAAGATTTTTCTTTATAGTTGTAACAGCCAATATGTGGATAAGGCGTTTTTAAGTATAAAGGTCTTTTATGCTGTGTTCATTATTCACGTGTGTTTTGTATTTCAGGATTCATGAGGTGCACAAGGTGTAAACAAACAACCTATTGCTCAGTATCTTGCCAGAGGGAAGACTGGAAGACACACAGACACGTGTGCAAGCCCTACAGCCAAAAAAGCAGGTATGAAGAAATCTGAAATCACTGTGGTTTAAATTCAGAAAGTAAAAAATGGGTGATATGAATGGCAGTGCACTTAATTTTGTGACTTAGTTATCTGTTTCATTTCCTTATTGGAACAAATATAAAATGCAATTTAATTTAATTTTAATTTGCTTACTAACAAAGCAAAATTTAAAGATGTTCAATCTGTCATATCAAACAGATAAAACAAAAATAGGTGACTTCTGAGCTAACAATCTTCTCTGTATAAGTATTTAGCCCCACCTCTTGTGAATCCTTGAGTACTTTTTAAAGATCTCCTGCTGGCATACAGGCTACTGAATGGTTTGATTGCAGGTTATTATAATAATTTATTGCAGGTGTATAGTCCAGTACTTAATCTGATATCTGCTGATTCAGATATTACCAGTCTTCATTTAATAAGAATCAGCATGGAATAGCTTTAAACTCAGATTTTAATCTTAAATTAAATCTAAAATCTAGCATACATTCTGTATTTGCTATTTGCTGATGTCTGTAACATACTAAAACAATAATGAATGTATTGATGCTCTTTTCTGCTAAGCAGTTTTGAACAGGATACTCCAGTATTAACAATAATAGTTTCTCTATGTTTTCTCAAATTATTCCCTCATAAAGTTCTTAATGATGATGTAGTAATAAAATAATATTGTCAACTGTAATGATAATCTATGACAGCTGATCTGGACTTTAAATGTACTACAGATTTGATGTAAAAAAGCCAGTATGTAAAAAAAAGCATTAAATTCTACAGAAGAGTTGTGTTGTTGAGTCTATTCTGTGCATTACCAACACAAATGTGATGGAGCGTATTCTGAGATGGAAACCGACTCATATCTCAAATCATATCAGTAAGTCTATTAGGCTGGCTGCAGACATTTTTAAAACTCTTAAAGACCTTTGTTTCTATTATAGCCATTGTATACTTTTTATTGGGTCAGTTTACGGTGCTTTTTTTACTTCTGCTGTTATTCTTTGTGTGCTATTGTGCCCCACTTTGGGATTGTTTTGAAGGAGGCTTATAAATAAAACTTGTTAAATTTTAACTCTGTGGCCTTTGCTTTTAGAATTGGCAGTACATTGCTGTAACACTTGCCAGCGAAATGTAGCTTTCAGATAGGTATATAGGTGGTCTTTTGGAATCTTTCACACCTGTACTTTTATTTTTTTTCCTTAAAAAGCAAGAATCAACAAGGACAACCAACAACAACTTCTGAGGCAAAGGTAAAGTATCTAAAACTATTATGTTCATGCTTAAGTACAGCAGATTAAAATCTTAAAAACAGAATGTTGTTGAAAGGGTGAAATGATTTGAAAAAATTAAAAGATGTTAATCTAAAAAAACAGACACTTGGACACTTTACTAATGATTTGAAGAATAAAATAATAGAAAAACAATTATAGGAAACATTAATTAAATAATCCTTCTAGTGGGGGAAACATCAGTTCTCTGCAAAGGACTAACTTAAAAAAATCAAAGAAATGGGAAATGAGTGACTTAAATAATGAGTTAATCATGAAAGGTTATAAATGTCTGATTCACCAACAACAAAAAGTTTGCCTGTTTAATAGGTATAAAATTGGATTACAAACTTTAATTTGCTTGACTTACTTGAACAAAAGAGAGCCACAGTATCTGAAATCATGTTCATTTTAGGCCCAAGCAAGATGCAGTGGATTCGTAAGTTCCGTGAATAATGATAATTCATGTATAGATTTACCCTATAACAATTATCAAAACACCTAAGTATAAAACCAGTTAATAAAAGTAATTAAGACAACTATATAGCCTCACTGACTAGCTCTTAAGCCATAAAAAAATTACGGCACCAACCATCTAAAGCTTTGTCTGTGTAAGTTGAGAGCGTGTAAGTTGTGATTTGATTGTATTTCTTAGGCTTAATTAAACCAATTGGCTTAGCTCACATGCCATTTTTTTGGGGGGGGGGTATTTCTGAAAGAGGACCGGCTAATCCATCTGAAAAGTCAAGAAGTTATATAAGAGGTCTCAATTAAACACAAGACTGTTAGGATGAGGTCACTTGCTTTCTCCCCTGAATGCTAAAACTCCATATGGCAGTTATCCAGTTTTTAGGCAGTCTGGTTTGATGCATATTTAGGCTTTGTGCTCAGGGCTCTTGCATATGGTTTTGAAGTGGCTGATTAAATTTGGGTTCAAGATGTGTGTGCTACAGTGTGACAAGAAAACTTTCAAACTTGTGTTTTCCAGTGCTGGGTTTGAAGATACAGTACCTGACAAAGTTGTCAACCAAGATGCATGGTCATGTTAATTTATACTATATACTGTAGATGTATTTTTTCAGTTTCAAAAGATTGAGATGTTCTTTCAGGAGATGATAACCATTGGTAAAGAACAGGAGAAGAAAATGTATCTCTCTGACTTGCAGAAAATGGACATAAAAAAGGGCCTGAAAGTGCAGGTATGCCTAGGTTGAAGGTAATCGGTCATGTTTGGTGTATAATCAGGCATGTCTACAGAAACAGGAAATATTCAATTTAGATATTCAAAGTGCTGATACAGAAAAATATTTTTAGCTAGCAAAATATTAACCTTGTCAATTTATGGGATTATGGTATGTCCGATAGAAATTGTGTATTAGTAGTACACACTTATGTTTTTTTCTGTTGCTTCATGTAGGACTTGTTTAATTTGTTTTTGACCTTCACACTAATTCATAAACACGAACCAATTTGAATTGATGATTCATGATTCAGGATATGAGCAAAGTAAAGTAAAAGAGAGTAGATATAAATCTCTTGGCACACTTGCAGTGGCTGATATGAGTAGCACTGCTGTCTCACAGCTCTTGGGTACTTACAGTATGCATGTTCGTTCTGTCTTGGTGGGGTACTTTGCTTTCCCCCTACCTACCAAAGACATTTTGGTCCTGTTAATTGATCTCTTAATTGTTTACTAGTATTTGTTCTGCAATTAACGTGTCCTGTCCAGGGTATAATTTCACTTTGCATCCCATGCTTCCAGGACAGGCTCTGAGTTGTAGTATATAATATATAATATAATATATGTGTTTAATATTCATGTTTTTTTGTTGTTGCTTTTTAAATTTTAGGCTTGTGTGGTTGAGTTTAGAAATCCTGGGAAGTTTTTTATTCACATCCAGACTGCAAAAATGATTGAGACTCTAAAGAAGGTAACCTTGACCCTTCAGAAAATATATAGTAACTCAATCAGTGAAGACGACTACATACCTGATGTGGAAGAAGTATGTGCTGCACAGTATTCTCAAGACCAGGTATGTGCAATTGTGCAAAGTTAATGCCATGCTTATTTCCAAACAATCCTGGAAATAACTGGAAGAATAACTGTGATGGGGTGTACCATTTGGGTAGTATCAACCTGTCAGCTGGTACATAGTAATCATTCACATTTTTTAATAGTAAATATGCAAACACTGGCAAATATTTTTACAAATTATAACCACTAAACTTTTAAATGCAATTGCCTTTTCAATTTTTTAGTTGTTGGCCCTTATCGTTGGTTGAGGTTTCAAAAATGACCCTTCTCCAGCACTGCTTTGTAATGGCAGTATAACATACTGTATTTGCTCACTAAATAGTTTAATGCTGAGATTCACTGTTAGACATATGCTTTTTCTTGCAGAATTGGTATAGATGTCTTGTGCAGTCCCTGGATATTAGCAGTAGAACTGCTAATGTTATTTATATTGATTTTGGAAATGAAGAGGATGTAAAACTAGATAAAATTAAACGTCTCTCTGTGGACATCGACCCAGTTCCACCTTGTGTAAGTTAACTAAAGCTAATCTAATTGATAAGTAACAGTTACATGATACATCTCAATTTAATGCAATACTTTATTTCTTCAGATTGCTTTTTCTCCTTCACCAGAGATTAATATTATATATTTTTTAATCATTCACATTAAAAAGAGAAAACTTGTTTTAAAAACATTTTCACGTCACGTTGAGTAATTAGCTTTTTCTTCACCCTATTAAAATTGTTCAAAATACTTGAGTAATTATTGCCTAAATAATTGTAGAAAATTTAATTTTTAACATTGATAATGAGCAACACTAAAGAAGAATGGTAATGAGCTAATAGGAGGACAAATTCCTTACTCAGGAACAAACCACACACTTATTACCTCTCCTCCAAAATGTGGCTATGAAGCCCTTTATTTATGTCAATTAGAATTTGCAGCAGCTGAATTGAATATAATTTTTAAAAATGTTGTGTTTTTTTCCACTTTTTCACAACAGTGGAAAATGTCTCTTTCCTTCATCTTAGCTGTGCTAATGATTAATCCGTTCCTATGGCAGGCACTGCAGTGTAGAGTAGCCAATCTGGCTGCTGTGACTGGCTCTTGGGTTGAGGTGTGCTGCAGCTCAGTGCGACAGCTGCTCTTGGGAAAGACCTGCTTGGTGACCATAGTGGATGTGTCGGAAACTGATTCTGTTTGTTCTGTTGATGTCGCCCTACCTAGTATTGGTATGTTTTTTTTTTCATTTACAGTATTCTGTTTCTGTATTTTTGTCTTGTCACATTCCACTTATTTAATGTTGGTGCATTTGTGGAGCACTGGTCTCAAAATCTGGCACTCATAACACTGCTGAGGAAGCTGGCATTGAGGCCACCTCACATCATTGCACTGCCCCTATGTAAGTAATAGTTTTGTTACATTTACTTCAATTTTATTGTTGTTTTCCCAGTTTACGTATGTGTACTCTACAATTCCCAGATTCAACATAGAAGCAAGGTTCAACAAATTACATTTGCTATTGTCCAGGAAGTTGTCATCACTATTTGCAAGCTGTAATCATGTAACCTGCTTAAGTCAGGAGTCTAGGTCTTGATGTCCATTTGTATTTGCAGCTGTGGTTATTGCTATATGGAAGAGACCCCACGGGAGATCCTATTTCGGATGATCATAGGAATTTCCTGTCTAGTGATGGTGGACCTTGACTGTCCTCACAGTTTCATATAATGACGTCCTCACCATTTGTTGTCTGAGTATTATCCTGAGATTGACAGTACCCTGAGATTCACAGTTTTTAAAGATACATGTGTTTTCAAACCTTTATTCCTTACAACAGAGATAATGAGGTATTTGTAAAAATATTTTAAAATTCTTTACACTTTCATTAGGCATTTCACCACCTCTTACAACATTTAAGGTCCAGACATGTTCAGGGTTGTCACCTTTTTGTTACATTCCTACCTTCAGTCTTTGATATGAGCTATATTAAAGACACTGTAATACTGTACACTGATACTGTACACAGAAAATAACAGTTCCAGTAATTGTCCCTTTTTTCTTTTAAGTATTTTGTTTCATAATTGGCTGGGACCTAAAAATCCCTCAAATATGATAGTAATTATTTTCAGGTATCTAAAAAATGTTAATCTGTTTTAACCTTTTTATAAATTAAGCTCTTGAAAATTTGTTACAGGAATGCAGTTAGAGGAATTTCTTGTGCAACAGGGATATGTTGTGAAGCAAAAGGTTGGGAAAAGCTCCCCAAATGGGCAAGATATCAGTAAGATTTTCTTTTCAAGTATAAAAGTTTCTCTGGTGTTAATGTTTCATGAAAGTAACCTAGAATTTTGTTTCAGATTCTATACTTTGTGCTGCTTTAGAAAATTTCAGAAAGAAAGCAAGCACAGGGGTTGAGGATGACAAAAAGTTTCCTGAGCCAGTCCACCTGTGCATTGGTGACAGTTTCTCTTGTGTTGTTACACACATTCTGTCTCCACATGACTTTGTCATACAGAAGCTTGACAATGCTGGTAAGTCTGTCAACTGTTCAGACTTTTAATTACTTTTTCTTATTGGAACCTTCAGTGTGCTTCTCGCAGGCATTTAATAAATTTAATCTGTAGTTGCAGCATAAAAAATGAAACAATTATCTGCTGTTTTCTCCTCAGTTCAAAAAGTGTATCGCTTGCCTGAGAAACTATAGAGAAACTGGTGTATAGTCAGGATTCCTAAGTTTAAAATATCTTGAATACTTGAAGACCTCCCTACATTTTTGGCGATGAAACATAGTTATTTCTCAGTTAAATTATATGGAAATCCCTATTATAAAATATTAATATTGATAATAGGTGATAGCAAAACTTTCCTTGCTTAACTGGTGCAGCTTATGAGTTAACAAGAGTAAGAATATTTGTGCTTAGGGTTCTGAATTTCCAACTGGAGAGCTGTGGGTAAAAATCCCTGTTGTTCTCCCAGTGAGCAAAGTAATTCACTCAGATTGTTCCAGCAAAATGTGCAGCTAATTAAATGGGTACAAATGCAAGTGACACTTTAGTCAGAGAAAAAAACTGATTTGGGGCTTGTGATGGGCACCTGATGGGAATGTTGTTTTAGTCACATCTCTTGCTTTGCATAGAATGCGCATTAGTCAGTGATGTTCTTTAGTTTGTTGAATACTCAAGTCTTGTACTGTATGTTAATTATTTTACATTTTTTTAACTCATTGGCTTTTATAGCAATTTCTTTCCTTATATATAATACAACCAGGTGCCATTCAAGAGCTGCAGATCAGACTGAGAGATCACTGTGTGCAAATCCCTTCTTCTGAGGACTACAGGCCAGCCCCTGGCACTGTCTGCTGCTCCCAGTTCACAGGTGTTCAAAAAGCTGGAAACTCAAAAAACACAAAAGTGGTAGTATTCTAAAACATTAAAGCCTATATGCAGAGAATATCCATAAATTAAAGGTGACATTATATACTTGTCTCATGTTCATCTTTTCATGTCAAACCTGAATAGTTTGAGTATAAAGCAAAAATAGAAATTTTAACTTCACTGTCCTAATACTATTTGAAGGCACTTTAACTTTTTAATGCTTAGTGTTAATTTTGATCACTAATGTCTTTTGAGGTTCTTTTGTAAAATTATTACAGTTTTTGAATAGCTAAATGGAGTTAATTAACCTTACAACTTCCTTTGTAGAGGACAATCTGTGGTACAGGGCTACAGTGCTTGGTTACTCATCTGAAGATAGAGTCTTTGTGGGATACATAGATTTTGGAAATTCTGAAGAGCTAGAATTGAATCGCCTCCGTCCTGCTAATGAAGAGTTCCTCAAGTTACCAATGCAAGCTATCACTTGTAGTTTACCAGGTATGTATTTAAAAATCTGTTGTTAATAACTAATTTCTCGTGTGAATTTGCAGGCCTCCGAGTGGAATTGCCAGTAGAGGATTTTACATGAGTTTGAGTCCTGTAGTTCAGCATCTTTCATTTGAGTGTGGGCTATGGCAGACTATGAGCTATAGCAGTCTATAGCCTGGTTCCACATGTGTTATTGGCATGTGGCCTAAGTGTCGCTGAAGTTTGGTAGCCTTCAATCAGCAAGGATATCTTTAGCTTGCTATATACAGTCACCCCTGAGACCTGACAGGTACTTATGAGCTTACAGTGTCTGTGAGAGGTACATCACTCTTGTAAGGGGAGTGGTGGGGTTAGTCCGCAGTCCTTTATCATTCTATGGTAGTGTGAGGTCACGGCAGTGGGCTGAGTCAGTCGATAAGCAGTCGCCGGTTCCAAAATGGGAAACGGATACAAAAATAATGATAACATTCATTTTCAAACTCCAGATAAAGTTGACAAGGGAGATACATTTATAAATCAGTATTTTAAATCAGTTTATTGTTCTCCCCATATAGATTTTGTAGCCTTGCTATTCACTGTTACTAAAAGTTTGGATTTTCTGCCATCCCTGTCTTTTGAGTAGGAAAGGTTAATATATATAGCTAAGGGTGTTCATATTTTATAAAAAAAGCAAAGCCAGATCATTGTGAATAGCTTGTGGGAAAACTGTAAATAAAGGCAAAATATCTGATTTAAATACATTATGCATACCCTGTAATCAGTGTTTAGTAAAATATACTAAAGAAATAATGTTCTAAATAAATAAATCTTCTTCCAGGTCACCATTAGTCTTGTAGTTGTAGCTTTATTTACACTGAGGCTGTTCAAGAGGTCACTCCTTTGACACCTCAGAGGGGTCAGATTCTCCCATGGTAGTGGGCCTGATCTTGTCATTGTGGTGCTGGAAGCAGTGTGTGCTCTAATATTGCAGGCGCCTATGATCGAATACTGGCACCTGTCATATGTTCAACAGCCATTGATGTTTCTGCGTTGTTGCTTCTTCTCGAGGTATATAGCCGAAATATTCTAATATGTAATTCTGCTGGATCTGCAGATATCATGCTGACATAACATTCTTCTACAGTACCTAGTATTGAGTATATACCGTATATAATCTTGTTGTTCCTGGATACCCCTCTTGTGGTTTGTTACCATGTTTATCACAAATGCTCTTCTCACTAACGCACATTTCTAAACTGCTATTTTTTAGTTTTTGTGGCTCTTTGAAAGTGGTGAGATATTTTTAAACCATTCTATTAGTCTCACATTTAACATTGAGTTTACGTTCAGTACCTTTTACTTCTGATCACTCCAAATGTGCACTTTTGATTGAAGCCGTGGCAGCCTCTTAAATTACTTACAGTTGAGATGTTTTCCCCATGTTTTCTTTCTGTTCTTTGTTGTAGATTCAGCAACATTTATTTGGACCTTTCCCTGTTTTTAAAATTCTTAGGTATAAAGCCAGTTTCAGAAGAGTGGGACTCTGAATCAATTCTGGTGATGAAGAAACTAGTGAACACCAAATTTCTGAAAGTTCGAATCCTAGATAAGGTTGATGTGAAGGCTCTAGTGGAACTGACAGATGAGTACAGTGATCCTCAAACTAATATTGCTGACTTGATGGTTGCCATGCGATGTGCCGTCATTGACTTGGATTTCAGATCCCAGACAGATCAAACGGAGGGAACAAAGGAATCCTTTAGTACGTGAAATGCCATATGATTCAAGCTAAACATTTTATATTCTTATCCAGGTTTTCAAAGTAGCTATATTTGTCCATACAATTAGGAGTACTAATTAAGTACTAATTAAACATAACCACAAATATTTGACATCTGCTCCTACAAGCATGTTTATTAAACTTCATAGTTATAGTGAGGGATTGTAATAGCTACGTTGGCAGTATATGATTTAATTATGTACATGTGATAGTGATTGCATGTAACAGTAACAAAATATGGTGCCCATGACTAGGTACAGTATGTACTGTATGCAAGTATTAATCAAGAGGACAGACTCCATTTCTACTGTAGTTAATATTGCTAGGAGAAAGTTAGAATTTATTATTGTTTTTAATCTATTCATTGTGTGTTATTAAAAATGACTCATTTGACTTCCATTTCCACAAATAATAGAAATGGTACTGTGTGTTTTATTGATTTTTTTAATTATCACTGTTTTAAAATTCCATGACTCCAGCTAAGAAGCTAGAGTGGACATCAACAGAACTGCCCAGTAATGAAACAGTGGATGTAGTAGTGAGTGTGATTGACAGTCCCAGTGAATTCTACTGCCAGTGTTGTAATCCTAAAGGTGGGTTGAAATGGACATGTTTGTTCGCTTTAGTTTAACTTTAGTCTTTTAATATTTCAGTGAGGTAAATAAGGAATTACAGTTTGGAACTCTATGTGGTTTTAAGACGGCCTTCAAATTTGTTTTGCTTATAAGATCTACAGGGTTTAAAGAATCCTCAAGGATAGATTCTAACTTTCTATACTTAATGTAGGTTGTGTGAAACCCCAATAAAAAGGTAAAAGAACAGCTTTGACAAAATCAAGTACTTTACCTTGAGAATGAATGTCAAACTTCTAGGTTTAAGGGGTGCAAATGACAATTTTTTTTTTTAAAGATTAAAGTGACTTGATATGGATACTACAGTAGTGTTTTGTGTTCTCAGTACAGAAGGGGTTTCTTGTCTTTTTTAGTTGTTTGTGTTATCTTCCATGTATGTTTTTCTGTGATTGAACTCCAGATCATATATCAATTTTAATTTAACTTCCAGTAATATTTGTATACGTTTTTTTTTGTTTTGTATCTGTTTTATTCTAGATTTGCAAGCCCTAAATGAGATGTCTGCTAATTTGTTAAAATGCTCTCAGAAGGCCAGTGAAGCATTTACCCCTGTCATTGGAGAACCCTGCTGTGCTGTGTTTCCAGGTACATATTTAAAAAACACATCTCTATTCAGTACAGTGTCAGAAACACCACTATAGATCTTTAAACCTGTATGTGGCACATCTAGCTAAAGCCGAGGTGATATGTGTTGTATAGATTAGTATATATTTATCTTTTGAGCAATATCCAATATTCGTTTACTATAGCTTTTTTTCTCTACTCAAATGGCAGTTTAACTGGACATAGTTTCTCCCCAGTCTCTTCTCATTTTTACTGATCTTGTGTGTCCAAGCAGGCCAACAATCTGTTGTGTTAATCAGTTATAGTACTCTTTTTGTTTCAAATTTTGTTTCAAAATTCAACTGTGGTACAGTGCATGTTTTGTGTTTGGCAGGTTTCTTCTAAATCCCAACAAGGGAAGAAAGTAAAGTCTGAGCTTTGTGCCAAATAAAATATTTCTCTGTTACTTCTTTTGTTGATCCTCCTTTCTGTAGCTTAGACTTTGTAATGCAAGTGGCCAGAGCCGATATATCTTAGGTTGTGTAGTGTAGAAATGTAAAATGTTCACGCATAAACCATACTGCTGCAGAAGAAACCTCAAGCATATCCATTTAAACCTCAGTCAGAAAGACAGATGGCTTCACATTCTTTTTGTCATGGACATGGTCAAGCCTCAGAAGAGTGCAGCAGATCTCAGGTTTATGATGTGACACTGGGGATCAGCCCCTGAGTATATGGAATCTGAACCTTTGAGGGAAAAACAAGCTAAGAGCACTTTCTCTAAATTACACATTTGTCTAGAAGCATCTGAAGGATCCTGACAACATAATTAGCTAGTAATTACACTAGTTACGTTAAGGATGGTGATAAGGTTTTGCACATAACTTGGCTATGCTTTCTGAATTGATAGTTTAACTTATTGACCTTTTTTATTTGATGTCTTTTCTTCACTAACACGCCCTCCTTCCAACTATCAAATTAAAAGAACATCCTATTGGTTCAGAAAAATGAGTATAGTATTTTTTCCTTATGTATAAACTGCTAAAAAATATTTATTTTAATCTTTAACCTCTGTGCTGTAATCTAAATCCCCAGCATGTTTTCTAATAAACATTTCCTATCCTTTAGTATGCTTAAATAATTAATATAGTGGCTGTATATAAAGGGTTATATAAATAGAAATATCATAACAGATTTTTAACTTACAAGTTTGACTAAAACTCTGTTGTCTTGCATAGTTCTCATCAGATTTTAATTAATACATTTCCCCCTTATGTGTATATTATTTTGTGTCTGTAAGAGTCTGGTACATTACAATATCAAAATTATATGGACTTGTCTGTTTTACTGTGTTTAATTTCTACAGGAGATGGTAACTGGTATCGTGGAATGATCAATGATATTGGGCCTAAAGGTGCTGAAGTTTATTTTGTGGATTATGGAAACACAAGTGAAGTAGCTGTGGACAAACTCTGTGCCATTTTGCCAGAATATTTGATGCTTCCATTTCAAGCAATAAAATGTTGGCTTGCAGGTACAGTTAGCAATTTTATTTCTTTTCTTTATTTTAGTAGACTAGACAACTAGTTATAGACAATTCTAATTCTAGTCTAAATCCTGGTATTCTTAGAAGATTTACCTTATTAAAGATATAGGTGTTGCTCAAGAAGGTTTTATTTTCCATTTTGACAGCATAGTAAGTGATTAAATATTTTAATATTTATCACCAGCTTCTTGTTGTTACATTAATATGTAAGTAAATAAGTAATTACATGAACATTTTTCAGTGTCCTGTGCTTGCTGTAAATTAATTACACCTTTCTGATCACATTTCCTGATGTTCAGCAGTGTAAAATTAAATAGGTTTGCTTTGGAACCACAGCCAAGTTTCTTATCTTGTCTGGATATAGTTCAGATTCTCCACTAGAGGTCACTAATGCTATAGAAGTTTTTTTTAAATCCATGAATATGTTACAGCAGACAAAGCTTGGGTAATCTGATTGCTAGCACTAAATGAGGGGTGCTTTAATGTTGTCTTCAAGGTGTGGAGCCTGTGCAGAGAGAATGGACAAAAGATGCCATTAAGAGATTTCAGGCTCTTACAGTTGGAGTCCAGCTTAAAGCAAAAGTCCTATGTAATGGACAAAATGGGTATGGCATCAAGCTGGTAAAGAGAGGACAGAACGTTGCCGAGAAGCTTGTTGCTGAAAAGCTGGCTGTGTGCAATAAAACGTTCCATGATCCAGTGTTAACTTCTATTATGCCAGGCACTGAACCCACAGGTATGAGTAGTGTTAAGATTGCAAAATTCCCTCTCCAAATATTCTTTGTAACACAGTGTTACATGATTCCTCATATACTATATACAGTATATGCTTTCTGGATCTTTTGTCTTATGTTCTTAACAATTGCAATCAACACAGTGCTTGACAGTTGTTCCTCTGCCTGTATTTCATGTTGTAAATATAGTATACTGTATAAAATTTGCTGAAGCATGTGAAACGCAAACACCATTGATATTCCAGAATTTTGAACCTATGAAGTACTTATTTTACCCTGTTTTTTTATTTATGCATTTTACAGAACTTTTTTTACATTTTGTTAGCAGTTTAATACATTTTTTTTAAAATGGTTGTTTCTTTTAAAATTCAGTAAAGCAAACAGAAAGAACACACATTGTAACCAGTTTGCCTACCCATGTGTTTCACACAGGGTAACTTCTGCAATGACAACCTTAGTTTGGTTTCTGTATTGCATTGAACTCTTTGATCAGTATAAGGAAACTGGGGTACTGGGTCATTCATGTCTTGTATTAATTTCCATTATACAACAATTTAAATCATTATCTGTTGTGTCCTTGTTTGGTCCACTGAGTTCATTTCCCTCTCCCCCTAGGTGGTTATTTTCCAAAGGACTGGAAAACAGTGGAATTGCCCAAAAGTGGAACTTTCCAGCTGCACATTGTAGCTGTGAGGAACCCCAGCTTATTCTATGGGTTGAAAGACAGCAATGAAGGTGATTAAAGCATAATTAGTATTTCAGATTTTTCACGCTGCTTCTTCATACCATTTACAGAGCTTGTGATAATGATCAACTTCTTGGAATAAATATATTGCTGGGCTCAGCACACATGCAACATTTGTTATATTGAAAGTTTGAATTGTAAGAATTCTGATTCTTTTCCGTCCTTTTTTTTTTCCAGTGGATGTGAAAAAATTGGAAGCTCTCATGGCTGAATTGTCCAGTTACTGCAATAAACAGAGTTACAACCCTAATTTAAAACCTGAGGCAGGAGTAGCATGTTGTGCACAGTTTTCAGGTAAGGGAACTCAAGTGCAATACAATACAAGCTCAGTATAAATCTAAACAAAAACTGTCCTGAAAACAGAACATTTGTTTGGGTATTTGTTCATTTTCACTAGCCTTTTGACAGTGAGTTTTTTTATTTTTTAAACCTTGCAGGCATATTTATAATTTATACGTTCTACAAATTAGTGCTGTATAGAACCATAAGAATTTCTGTTTATTCACTGCTACTGCTTTGGAATTGCTTGCCAATACTACGTACGGTATGGCATTCTTGGTACAGTATATACAGAATCGAAATAGGCCGAATGGCAACTGTATAGTAGTCCAGCTTTGCAAAGCAATTACAGCGATCAGGAATTTCATTCATTTGTGTACTGTACCTCTTCCCCTGGTCTAAATAATTTGAGACTTGGAAAACCTTTCTTGTTTTTTTTGCTTGAAACAAGTGCAGAAGACTACACAATACATACAAAAGTTTCTAAAATGTGGTCTTCAAACAACTAAGTTCACATGCGGCATTTTCACTTAATTTCACTGTGATTTCTTAACAACATTGCTACTTCAAGTGAAACTTGGAGAAATCAGTTCATACTGTGTTACACCTTTTTGTTTAAGTGATTGTGTTTAAGGCTCATAGTTATTAGAAGCCATAGCTTAAATACAGCTTTTTGTTCTACTTTCCAGTTAGTTACTTCTTGTATATAGTGTATTGACAGAATTGAGCATTATCATTTAATTTTCTTGAAACTCAATTGAACTCCCCTTGTGGAAAGGTCTATACAGCATAATTAGTACTGTAATAAGCACCTATACAGCATAATTAGTACTGTAATAAGCACTTGTCTTTAGTTACAGTAACTTTTGTTCCTTTTGCCTGTTTCACACTGAATAGCATTGCGCTTACAGTAGGTTGTGACGGTGTCAGGTGAGTCAGATACAAGTTTTCATACTGCAGTTCAAACAGTTTGTTTGTCAGCCTGCTTCTTCTAGCCTTTTTGCAGTATTTGGTTGTAATTGCTTAATATAGACTTCTCTGAACTGTAGTGTTTAAATGTTAATAAGAGATATGCTCCATATCATTATGATTTGCCTTGTAAATTTATTTGAACTCAAAATAATGGCATGCCATACTGTAGGTTTCTAATGGTTTTGCATTTGAACAGGAGCACCAATATGGGTGTGGTTAATGAACTTTATAGTAATCAATTAAATGAGAGAATTTAATGTAATTAGTGTCGTCATGTCGTAATGACCTCACTAGCTACCCCAATAATAAAATGAAGCTCTACTCGCCTTCTGTATATCTCTGCAGAGCTTCTTTCTGCTGTAAGCCAAGAACTGGCAATTTCAAATTGTATGTGTATATAATGCAAAATAATTGGTGATTCTAAATTTTAAAAAAGAAAGCTCAATAAAGTAGAATATCCTTTTTCCATCAGTGTAAAAAGTTGTTTGAAAATAATGTAAAATACATTTACATAATTTTCTTTTAAAATACAGAGTTGTAACTTTTTAACTGTGTGCTGCTGTTTTAATTTTCACGGTGGGGTCACCATGTGCATGTCTTGATGTAGGTCTCAAGCTGATACAAGGGCAATGTTTGGATTGCATAGTACTGTGCAGTATGTGCTGAAACCCAGACATTAAAGAAATTGCAAACAGATTGTGTATTGATTTAATTCTAATGCTTAGGCCTTACATGCCTTCTCAAACTTAAAAACAATGTTCTGAATATATCTTTAATATGAAATCTTTGGTCCTGCAGAGCCATAGTTTCATAGTTAATCTTTAAATTCTCAATGTGTAAACTCAAGGAACAATTCAATTTTATTAATTAGTCCTGAGACTTGTTTAATTAAGAGATCATTTCAAATGAAAACCTGTCTCAAAGAATTGAACAAATTAACTTTGTCAATTTATCTAAACAGAGATTGGATTTATATAAACTGATAACTGAATATATCCCTTGCACTGATGGTTTACAATGATTTATTAACTGTAATGAACTGCTTTGCAAATTGTAATTGTGATAATGGTATGCTGTATTGTGTTGATAAGAACATTTGTTTCTTTCTTTTAACTGTTGGTGAAAATCATAAATTGCTGTAGGCTAAATTGTGAAATTGCAGGGTTGATATGCAAGGCGGTGCACTGCTTAGCATTGCTACCTCGCTGGGTTCAATTTCTGGGGTTCTACCTGTGTGGAGTTTGCATGTTCTCTTCCCAAAGTCTTTTTTTCCCCACAGTTCAAAGACATACCGATAGGTTAATTGACTTCTGGGAAATGTGGTCCCAGTGTGAGAGTGTGTCTGTGTGTGCCCGATAATGGACTAGCATCCTGTCCAAGGTGTATCCTGCTTTGTGCCTGTTGCTTGCTGAGTAAGGCTCCATCTCCCCTGCGACCCTGTATTGGATAAAGCAGTTAGAAAATGGATGGATAAGTGAGTTAAATTGGTTTTAGTAATCAGCAATAGCCTGCAAGCTCTGCTTGGAGTATTAATGCGGAAAAAACTGCAACAGTGAAAAGCGGCTGGTTTGTAATTAGCAGATTTTTAATGTTTTTAAATTGGTTTTAATTAGGAAACAATCAACACCTGGCAATTGTAAGGGGGTGTCATGTGATTAAAAATAAACACTGAATTCCAGGATCCCTACAGAAACAATTCTCTGCTTTCTGCAGCTTACAAAGTAATAAACCTGAGCATTCCAGACATTTCCAGGTGATGGACAAAATGTTTATCGTCTGAAGACAAAGATCTTAATATGTAGGTCAGTTTTATGGGCGCAGTTTTATGAGGACCAACTGCCCTTGGTCCTTAAAAATACTTCCTGTCCCAGACTGATTTGATAAGAGTACATGTACAAGTGGAGTTACAAAATAAATTAATGTTGTACCTCAGTGTATTTAGTTAATCCCTTTAAATATTTTATAGATAAAGATATTCTTAAAATGTGGTTTGAGCTCATCTTCATTCCATTGTTCCAGTTTAGATATTGATTAATGTACTGTATTAGGTGAGTGATTAAAATGCTAACCAGTGCAAAACCTCTGGTAACAATAAGAAGGATTTGTAGTACAGTGGCACTTTTATTGCTTAAAAGTATTGTAAAAGGATGAAGAATTTAAGTTTTCAAGTAGTGATACAGTAGGATAAGCAACTTCTAGGAAATATGCATAACATGGTTCCAGTCATGGAATTTCAAAATAGCTGGTAATTTTCTTGTCTGGTCCTTTGTAATTACATGTATAGCAGCTGGCACAACATTGTCAGCAATGTAAGTATAGTGTGACTACTGAGACTGCATATTCGCGTTCCAAAGTGCATGCTAAAACAAGACACTTTCGAATTATGTGTTTTACAGATACAAAAACTGAAGCAAATAAGTGCATTAAATTTGGGATTTAGGTGACTACTGCAAAGAGCAGAGGTACCCTGATATAAAATCAAGTAAAATGTTAAGTTTACGGGACTTTTCAAATATTCAGCAGAAACCCCTTATCCATTGTCTGGAAGTGTGCCAGCATTTACATCCGATTACATGATTTTTGAACCCTTTTTCATTTCAAACTGATTCAGCCGACCCAGAGTTTTTTTTCTAATATCTTTTATTGGTTTCTTTCTAGGTGATAAGAACTGGTATAGAGCTATTGTTCTGGACATCTGTGACTCAGAAGCATATGTTCTTTATGCAGATTATGGTAATATAGAAAAGGTCCCACTTTCCAGCATTCTTCCCATTACAGCAAAGCATCTGGAACTTCCTTTCCAAATCATAAAATGCCAGCTTTCAGGTAAAAAATATTTGCTAGAACTCATATATCATAGTATTATTGCTCAAAATGTCTGTGTTCTGTTTCTTGTCCAGGTTGAACTGTTTATTTTTAAATGTAAACAATTATTTGGTCAGCTTGTCAGCTTGTCTGTTTGCAAATGTATATCCCTAAATTTATAAATTTATAAAAACATCAATTACCGTATGTGTAATGTTAGTTCTTGAAACCAAGCTTCCATTGCAGGTGAACAACGTGACAAAGTTTATTGTAGAATTAGTTCAAAGGTTTGAAAGTTTGTTAGAAGCAGAATTCTGAACCTTCAAAAGCTTGTCAGGTATATACTAAGTTCTGAATGTTTCATTAAATTAAATATTTATTGAAATTAAAATATTTTTACTTGCCTATTAACTTTGCCAGGTGTGGAAAGCCAGTGTAAACACAACATAGGCACTTAAAATATCTGCCGAGCATCCCAGTAATCATACATCTACTGCTCACCTGTCATGGCTGCGCCCTTCTGTCTTTTCTAGATAGGACTCCACCTGCGAGACATAATACAGTCTGTTTTCTCCGTGCAAGCCTGGAGTCTATTGTCAGCATAGTAAAGAACAGTATCGGTAAAATCCAATATATATATACGGCATGAAGGACACAAAATGAGAAACTCTATAGGATTAATTGTCATTTAAGACTTGATTACTGTGTGAGCTGGAAGTCCTGTATATAACCTCAGTGCTCAGAGATTCACACTGTTGAGCACATTCTCTATTGGATATTTCCAGCAGATCATTAGAATGCAAGCTGTCTGTATTTTCATACCATATATAAAGCAGTAACATTTACACTGCAGGTATTTGTAAAGTATTGTTAAAAATGCATGGTCTGTACCACCATGCTTTTGAAGTAATAGAATTTGGAATAAAATACATCACTTTCAAACAGGCCTTTTTAGGGCCTTTTTGCTTTTTACAGTAGTTTTAGTCTTAACTACCATTTTATGTTTGTTTCCCGCTGTATGTAAGGGGATAAAAGGCTTCTATGAAAATTAATATTTGCAGGTATGAAATTGAATTTGTTTGTTTTGCTCTGCACTTTTGAAGGTCAAAGTGTTTCCTTTAATACAGCCCTTTAATGTCATAACTTAATGGGAATAACAGGTATGGCTGAACCTGTATGTGCATATTGTACTATGCTGGACTAAAAAGCATTGAGGTTACAGAAGAGTATATATATACATTTTAATTAATCTTCTGACCTTGAAATAATGTGAGTTTGGGTTTTCTTTTATTGTTTTATGGTTGTGCATTCATGAAAACAGTTACCAATACATACAGTGCAGTCCATAAGTATTTGGAAAGTGACACAATTTGTGCAGTTTTGGTTCTGTACTCCAGCACATTTCACAGGATTTGAAATGAAGCAATGATGAGATGAAAGTGCAGAGTGTCGGCTTTAATTCGAGGTTATTTACATCTATATTGGGTGAACCATATAGGAATCACAGCTCTTTTTATACATAGTTCCCCCCCTTTCATGGGACCAAAAGTAATTGGACACATTAACATAAATAAAATTTGGCATGTCTGTGTCCCATAGACATCACCAGACGTTGGGTATCTTTCCTGGTGATGGTCTTCTAGCCCTGTAATTCAGCCATTTTCAGTTCCTGCTTGTTTCAGGGGCTTTTTGCTTTCAGTCTTCAGTAAGTGAAATGTATGCTCAATGGGTTTCAGGTTGGGTGACTTGGCCTGTCAAAAATATTCCACTTTTTTGCCTTGAAAAACTCCGTAGTTGCTTTAGCAGTATTTGTGGGGTCATTGTCCTGCGCTGCAAGGTGAAGCCCCGAGTTTTGAAGAATTTGGTTGGATCTGAGCAGGTAAGATGTTTCTGTACGCTTCAGAATTCATCCTCCTGCTGCCGTCTGCAGTCCCAACATCAATAAAGAGTGTGCCAGTTCCATGGCTTTGTCCCAGAATTCAAGAGGTTTTTTTATGTGCTTTTTAGCAAACTGTAACCTGGCCTTTCTTACCAGTGGTTTGCATGTTGTGGTGAACCCTCTGAGGTTATGCTGGTGTATTCTTCTTTTTATGGTTGTCTTGGACACATCTGTGCCTACATCCTGAAGAGTGTTCCTGAACAGTTGAAAAGGGGTTTTTCTCTACGATTGAAAGTATTCTTCGGTCATCCACTACTGTGGTCTTCCGTGGTCTACCAGGCTGTTTGCTATGGCTAAGCTCACCAATGTGTTCTTACTTCTTAATAATGTACCAAACAGTTGATTTTGACTCACCTAATGTTTTGGCTATGTCTCGGATTGATTTATTCTGATTTTTCAGCCTCACGATGGCCCGCTTTAATGGCATTTACACTTCTTTGGACCACATGTTGAGAGACAACAGCAACAGACTCCTGATGCAAATGCCACATCTAGAATCAACTCTAGACCTTTTGTTAGCTCTCTTGTACATGAACTAATAATGCAACAACACACAGCTGGCCAAGAAACAACTGAGCAGACAATTGTCCAATTACTTTTGGTCCCCTAAAATGGGAGGACTATGTATAAAAAGTGCTGTGATTCTTATATGGTTCACCCAATATAGATGTACAGTAAATACCCTTGAATTAAAGCAGACATTCTGCACTTTAACCTCATACTGTAGTCATTGTTTCATTTCAACTCCAATGTGCTGGAGTACAGAGCCAAAAAAAAACAAAGATTGTCACTGTCCAAATACTTACAGACAGCACTGTATATAAACTAATATCTAAACTAATTCCAGTACCAAGAGCTGTTAAAAAGTGACATCCCATGTGAGTGGTCACACATAAACCAGTAGTGGTGATAGATGCAGCATGTGTTCATTAATATCATATTCTCTTAAAACTACTGAATAAAATTTGAAAAACAGATTTTGTAATGATCATTAAGTGCAATATTAATTTTCATATTATCTAAAATCTTATGCTTTTGCATGTCTGGAAAACCATCAAATACCCTTCCAAAAATCCCCTTTTTAGAATTATTTTATTTCTCATGTGGTTGTGCTATTTCTAATGCTCATTTGCAATTTGCAATGTATTATGCTTGCTGTAATTTCTTTCATGGAACTGTTAAAATTAATGTTTGGGGTTTGTTTGACACCAATGAAAATAAGTGGTTTGTAAAATTTGCCAGGCTGCATTAAAAAGTCCTATTTAAAATATATTATGATGTAAAGTTCTTGTCTTCTTGCAGAAGAGCTGTTTCCTGATGAGTGGTCATCTATATCATTGGAGTGTTTTGAATCTCTCTTGAGGGGTAAAGTGATGGCCTCTGTGAGGAAGTTTGATGGCAAAATATACACAGTACATTTGACTGTTTGTTCCGACAATGGAAATGTTGACGTATCCAAGATGATGATAGAAAAGTTTGGGAAAATAAAATGTGAAACTGATGCAGGAGTCATTGTAACAGACACGAATGTAAAAGCTTTATTGGAGTCCAACACAACCTGTACTCCACCCATCGGTATGTGAAGTTGGATTGATTTTCTTAATGCATTTAATATTCAAACTTTGTGAAAACATTATATTCTTTTAAAGGTTCTCTTGTTTTTCAGGAGTTTGGAAGGAATATTTCCATACATTATGTAGTGTAATAGATAAAACTTTATAATGTCTAAGTTAGGATTTCCAAAATGATGATTCATGATGTTTAAGTCACAATGCTTTTGTATATTCTGTTACAGATTCTCAGCCAACAAATGTAATGAAGTGTTGCTGTCAAGAACTTAAGGAAAAGGTAACTGTATTAAGTTAATGTATAATTCCCGACAGTTGTTCGCATGGTGTAATTAATGTAACTGAATTTTCTTTTTATACATCATAATGGTTAATTATAAAGATCTTTAGAGTTTATTTTGCATTCAATTAGTCATCGTAATTTCTTGATCTCCCCTTTAGTACTATGCTTGAAGAGAGAATCAAAGTTCTATATTTTGCCTGTGTAGTTTTTCCAGTTCAGTAAAACCAGTGAAAAAGTTATACATATTTAATGAATAATTAGAGTATACTGCCTGTGAGGATGGGAAACTGTAATATTTTAATAGTCTGACAGCTTTTCAGTAATGCCTAATGATAAAATGTAATGTCTTCACTTTTTTAACCAGAAGAACTGCTTTTTTCACAGATTGATAAACTTGAGGAGCTGCTTCTTGTGGTGATCAAAGAAATTGTGCATCCACAAAAAAATTACTGAGTATATTTATCAAATAACAGGAAGAACTGTTAAAGACATGGCATGTATTCCACAAGGTTTCAAAATATTTGTAGCCCAAATCCTGTTTTTCTTGGCTAGGATCACACTTAATGTTCTGTTGAGAGTAATTTTGTAGGGGACTGAATCTGCACATTCTACTGGTTATAACAGTTTTCTGTGTTATTAAGATTTGGATATTGTTCTGGACATTTGGTCTCATGCTGTTCAAGCCGACCAAAGTATTTTCTGTTTTGAGAGTCTTTGTTTGATTGTGGTTCCAAATATTTTGGCCAGTGAGTGAAAGAGAAATGTTGCTGCATTTGAAGATGCAATGCTCTAAACAGCACTTTCCATGTTGCTGTATGAGTAATTCAGTTCTGATTGTAGATTGAAGATAAATTTCAGGTTTATCTTTATCATGTTGTTTATTAAAAAAATGTTAAAAGATTTAATATAAAAAAAGCATACATGTTTTCTATAAATAAATCACAGAAGCTTGCTTATGGATAAGATCTGTGAAGAGGAAATCTAGCGAGAAACGAAAGTCAAGCTATATCTAATAAGTTCAGAGTATACTATATCAATTTATTAAACACTGTGTGCTCCCAAGCATCTCCAAAATACCATGCTAACAATGTAAGGAAGTATTCAGCTTACTACAAGCTTCTGAGCCATGCAAAGATGTCTTGTATATACAGTATACTAGCTCTTATATTTATACTCATACAGCATCTGTAGAGAGATTAAAAGGTCTGTGTGAAAATGCTATTGAACAACTTAAGTGTATTTAGGATATGTGTATTTGTGTATATGTGGATAGAGCTAATTTAGGCAATGTGTTATTGTTGAGGACACAGAAATACCAACATCTGAATTTTCACAAACGTTTTGTGAAAAAATGAAAGTTTTCTAACACTTCACATGTAAGAAAAAAAAAGTTGTATATGTTAAGCTACCGGATACAAACAAATGAGCCAGTTTAGCCCATCTAGTGTGATATCCAACTTTGATTGCTAGTAGATACAGTAATTGACCTTGATGTAAAGAAGTATCCTGTTCTGTTTTTTGAGAAAGCAAAACGTACATCTGAAAATGCCCACAACAGCAACTGGTGCCTGAACAAGTAGTGTGGTTATTGTAAGAGGGTTGTTATATGGATAATTACATATTTTTGTATTAAAGAATTTTAATTTCTGACTACATTGTTTGGATAAAGTGTAGAGTAGGACCTGTATCAATGTGTGAGCTGCAGAGGAACAAGTAGAGGTTAATTCCATTGTGAAAACTTCAAAGAAAACATTTTTGTGAGGACCTGCCTTCAGGTGAATGCTGGAATTATTTTCACTTTGGAATTATTTTGTTCAGTATTATATTGTGATGTATTTCAGCTATCATTATGCGTTGCTACAATATCTTGTCTAAACTAGTTACCAGTGTTAAATGTACTCGTATATCTTTTTCATTAATGCATATTTATATATCTCCTAGGCAAACATAGCCATAAAGTATTAACAATCAAGGGTGGAGGAACCAGGATAAAAAAATGAATGTGGAATTTGCCTCCTAGTGATTTGAGATTACTTTGGGTGGTAAGCAAGGCAAAGCAGTGTTTGCACACAGAGATTTAATGCATCCTCTTTATTAGTCACACCAGTACAACTGCAAAAAGTAGACCATACAGAAGGCATTTTCACATGGCTCATGAGGCTTTGTTAAAATTGATTTTTTAAGCAGTTTGACATTACAGAGATGTACATAGAAAGAAGATGACCTAGTACATTTTGAGCTGAATACCTTACAATAAGTAAATCCAAGTCACATAGTATGTTACTTTAATTAAAGTTAGGAAGCATTTTCTTCTTGATGGGACTAAGACTTGACAGATTAGTCATCCTTAGTTATGATATGACTGTTTTGTGTTCTAACATAAAAGTATTTGATTTAAATGGATCTATCAGAAAGACTGGTGAGAATGAATCACTATAATGTTTGTTTTGAAAACTGTCCAGCATTTCAGTGTTCAGACTATCTTGTTGCGAGTTGTTCTAAATGTAGGGGCATCTCTTATCACATTCAAGCTCCTGGCATTGCATTTGATTAGCTTTGGTTTGTACAGTAGATACACATTAAACTATTATTAGAGCTTTGGATTCTAGAATAAATTGAAAAATGATACTGCAAAGTTTGTTTGTTTTTTCAACTTTGAAAGAAGGGTCTCTGCTGCCTGTGATGTGTTTAAAGATGAGTTGCTCAAAGGTGGAAATATCAGAGAGGTCTTCCAAAACTTCGTTATTCTCCCCAGTGTGGTGTTGCTGGGGTCTTAGCTTCAAGCTGAAATGTAAAAAACACACATGAAAAATTTGAATTTTAGTGGCTGTAAAAAGAATTATTTGCAATTATATAAAAAAATCAAAGAATTGAAAAAGATTTCCAAAGTTGCTTGTTGGTCTGTTTAAGGGACTCAAGTAGAAAAAAAGTAAATTTCTAATAATGCCAGTTTCATAACAGCTTATTAATAGTTCTAACAGCACAAAGTAAAGAATTCAGTTTAAATTCTTATTTCATTTAGAATGGTTTATTTCTATTTTTTCTGTAGAACTGTGAAAGAATACTTGACAGGTGGTTTTAAAGTGCTATTCAATGGACAATACATGGATGTCATTTAAACCTTTATTAACTACCCCTTTTCAACTGTTTACCTTAAATTCCAGAATAAAGTAATGTTTATTTAAATAATACCCTTAGTCAAAAGATACATAAAATTGACATATTAAGATTTTTCCTAAGACTGTTTCTACATTGTCATAGAAGGGGACATGTTTAAAAGTTTTGGCACTTTAGCAGTCCTATCTAGCACCCTCCGCTTGTTTTTAGATTGACCAAATACACTTTAATTGTTCATTTAATTTTACAATTGGTATTGTAAAACCGTAATATTAACATTTCTTTCAACTCTCATAAAGGTTTTTGTTTGTAATTTACAGTAACCAATGTTTCTCAGTTGTGTTTAATAAACAAGCCATGTAAAAAAATGCCAAAATTCAGTGTTGTTTTTGCAGTGGTGTTTTACTTTCAGGACACATTAATATCTGATTCCAATTCTGGCAAAATAGCAGATAATATCATTTTTTCTAATGAATAATTGTAAGACCTATTCATTATTAATGTACTGACCTTGCACAAACTTAGCAGAAAGTAATTATCATTTTCTGTTCCCTGGAAGCAGTTCTTTACTGCTTACTTGTATTAATTGCATTTCATTTGCTATTTTCAACACACCTCTCGATTTCCACTCATGCACAGCTGTACCTATAGAGGTCTAGACTTTGTTTTTAAAGAAAATGACGCAACCCATACAATTGCTAAGAGAAGTATGAACTGTTATAGCACCTGGGTAGACAGGCAACCGTATTCATAAACAGCATTTAGGATTTAGTCATTTCTTGTCCATCTTTAGGTCAGGAATATGTATATGAAGCTTGGTATTATAGTAATTAGACTTAAGTAAAATCCTTCAATCTTGCACTTTTGTATAATAATATTTGTTTTCCCATGTCATAAAACATTTTTCAGAGTTGTGTACTGGGAATAGGTCAAGAGGTCAATGCCTACTCTCCTTCTGTCTCTGCTCATTTTGTCACCCCCTTTTCTAAGGGATTTTAATATTTTTATTAAATCTCATATTAGAGCAGATGTATCAATTAAGAACAACTTCTCCTTCACAGTTCCAACCTTGAATGTGTCCATTTATACACCACAGGATTTGTTTACTAAAGTAGCATGTTCAAAGGTACAACAGTGGTCAATCTGACACCCTCCCACCCCCACCGAAAATTTGAACCCACATGTCTGTTCCACAGTGCTGTTCAGATAACAATCAACATGTGGAAACATTAGTGCTTGATTAGGATTTATGAACTGACAAAAGCCATGAAACATACTTGAAGCATCACCTAAAGACAATTGCTTAAGTGCAACAGATTCACAAAGTTATCAGGAAAATTGCAATCTTTTGTAGCTGGTGCTAAAAAAAAAAAAAGCCATTGATTTTACAGAAGAGCTATGGTCCTCCCTTCTGTTAAGTCCTGCCCTTACACTCAAAGTGGCTACTCTCTGTTCCCTATCCTGGTCACTGGGATTTACCATATTTTAGGTGTCTTCCTCTAGTTTCTTGTGTAACCTGCATAGTGTTCTACAGCAGCCTAATACCAAGAAATACCACTCATGCAAGTACTGTATGTACAGTATAAAGCGTAACGAAGTGATTAAACATCCCCATGCTAGTCGCAGGTTACAGTCTGCTCTTTTTAACAGTCATACTTGCCGTTGGGAAACCTGTTAATATTTAAAAAATAAGTGTGCCGTGACATGCTCAGGTTTCTTAGACAACAGTGTCTATGATCACTCGTTGAGACTTTCAGGAATCCAGGGTTAACCTCTTACGAGGTTTTTCAGTACAGTTTTTCGCCAAGCGTTTTTCTTCATGGCAAATTGAACGTGTTGTATACAATTTACATTTTAAAGCATGTTTGTACTAAAAATTCGCAACTCATTTTAGCGCGATTTGTTAAACTGAAATGGCAATAACGGACAAAAAGGCTTGCTGATGCCTTGACAGTTTTTAAGACGGTTATAAGATTTGACGGACCAAAGAAACGTGCCGCATTCCTTCAAATGTGCACTAGAGTACACATGCTGGTTCATCTATCTCGGGCAATTAATGGGTTAACAAAAAATATTACACCTACTGTAGGGCTGTAGCAGTTTGTCGGCTTCGTGCTGTAATATATTTAAAGGGTATTCATATCGTGTGCTTTAGTTGAGAAGATAAAAAAATCAATGATGAACGAAAGTTTAATCGTTTTTTTATATCTTAAAAGGCATTGAAAGCTTTATATAAGTGCACAACAGAGGTCAACTAACAATTCGACGTTTCGATGTGGAACCCACAGTTAAATATTGATTTCTTTGATCAGACTTTTAATGCACGCTAATGTTGACCGTGACAAAACAGGTGGCATTATCCGCCCGGATCAAGCTTCTTAGTTGAATATAGTACTGCTGCGGCTGAACTGAAGCAGCGCCGAAAGCAATTACGCTACAGTCCAAAGCGAAAAGATTATCCAAAACTAATAAAATCAGTCAACTGCAGTCACTCTCAGTGTCGCGGTCTGATGTTTTGCAAATAGGCACAGAATTAAAGAATCCAGGATAAAACAGGGAAAAAAGCAAAGGTTGCTTCTAAAGGGCTGTTCTTTTAAATTAGCATCAGACAAAAAAAAAGCAGCGACCGTTCAGTCACTGCTGTTCCACGCGGAAGTGAAGGGGAGAGATTGGAGATTTCTGTAATGTGCGAAACGCAATTACAAGGGGGTTTGCACGGCGGCTGGATTTTCAGGTCCACCACTGAGTAAAGAAGAAAGAGACCCTTAAGGGTGAGTAATCTCGAGTACACAAGGTTACATTATAGAACTCCGAATAAAGAAGATTCAAATAAGTCCTTTATGTTTAGAGAAAATAATTCCTGTAGATCAGGTTTAGCTGAAAGTGCTTCTCATCGCATCCAGACCAGATAGCCACATAGTTCGTGTTAAGCAACTGATCTGGTGTACTTCAGGTAGGTTTCTGAGACAGTAAATGTATCCACAGAGCAGAGTAAACGCGTTTAGAAGTACGCTCAGTGAAAAAGAATTACTTGAAACACGTTGTGTGCTATGCTTTGTTTATACTGGAATATCAGTCCCCTTTTTGTTTTCCTTGTTTGCATTGTTTTCTTCTGTCCCTTTCTTGTTTGTTTAGTTTTCGATTTTTTTTTGTTTTCGAAGGGACGTTTTTTCCGAGAATCGATTAGAATGAAATACTATTGCATACTATGCCTTCTTTAAATAACTCGTTATTTTAGTAACTTCGCAAAAGTATATATTAGTTGTTTTCGAGTATCGGAGATGTACATGTAGCAATGGGAATGTCAGACGTTTGCGTGGTAAACAGTCTCAATCATCCGTGTTAAAAGTGATTAGCTAGCGGGCAGTCGACAATAGGGCGAAGGCAAACAGAGCAATTAGTGAAGTTAATATTCTACTATTTCAGTCACTTCATTACGCATTTCAGAATACTTTGGATTTGTACAATAGGCGTTGCATTAAACTTACGTGGCTTTAGGTGCTTTATAGATTTGAACCAGATTCAAAAGGGAAATATTCGGTATAATAAAATGTTTTTTAGCAGATCACGACTTGAGGCAGTTTATTTGCACAGCACTATCTAATGCGTCTTTCAGAAATGCCAGATATGTCAGTTGTCATTCCTGGCATTTTATTGGGTATTAGCAAGCACCTTGGATTGGAAATAGCACACCTTAAAGTCAGTGGAGCAGAAGGTCAAAACTCTTATCTACAGTTCAGGATTAAGTAACATTCTAATTTCACTGTTTTTTAAAGAAACGAGGGATTTACCTCCTCTGTACAAAATAATCGTTCATTACTAAATCAGAAGAAGGTTTTAAGGAGAATGTTTTTTGCCTTAAAAACATTATTACAAGGTACAGTAAATGAGATCACGTCAATATTCTTGCAGAAGAGAAAGATTTTGTAGTGTTTTCTTGGACGATGGCCCTCCTGTGGGTTAGGTAGATATGGGATTTCCCCACACTCTCAGTGGGGAAACAACCATTCTCATTAATCCAAACAGTTGCACCTGTTGCTAAGACATCAATTCAGATGTCATTGAAAGCTTTCTATATTCCTGCATTAATTAACTAAAACGGTGAATTAATAAATCTTCTAATCAATACAATTTTGTCAAAGCAATAGTTAACATTATTTTTAACATTTTAATATTTTAAGACACATTTTTAGAGCTTTAATCATTTCTTTCTTCAGTAGACAGAACCGTACGGCAAAGGGCTGTAGTTACAGCTTTGACACACACAGTAGCTGTTTGATCCTTTTTTTCCTTTTCTTGGTTTAATGATCCAAGGCTTGTGTTATGAAACTGTTTGAACTCAGTCCAGCGACTTTCTTTCTTATTATTCAGAGTTTGTGCAAGCCTTTCTTCTGGTCACGAACCATAAAAAGAAGGCAGGTTTTATGAGGGTTTGCTGCTTCTTTGGCTTAGGAAAAATCATTAGCTTTGTAGTGGAATTAATATTGACATTGAACTCCTCACTACCATTCATCTATGATTCAAACAAATTGCTGTCACATAAAGAGTACAAAGATCTTCCTTCTAGTATTGCCAATGAACACAACTTTTATACTGCCAGTCAAAATCATGTTTTGCCTTTTTTTGTGAATAATTATGGTTTTTATGGGATTAACATTTATTAAACAGCTAGAAAAAAACGCAAAGACAAATTCCTTGCAAGTTCATGGAATTCTTAAACTTAAAGTCCTATCAATTTAATTGGGTGACAGCTGATGATTTATAAAACCCCTTGATTGTTCTGTGACACACTGCATTGTACTATACCACATTGTACAGACATTCACAATCTCACAAAACACACAGTTCTTTATAAAGATGTAATACTTTCTAGAAACCATTTAAATTCACTGTGAAGTAGTCTGAAAACTTCCTCAATAATATATATTTTGGTTATTAAATTAAGAAACTTTACATCTAGAGATAAGCTCAGGTCTCAATGTTATTGAATGGAAAATAGCAAGAGCTAGTGACCGTTTGCCTATTCACAGACACATGCTGTTAAAATAAGGAATTTGAGCCATGTAAACTCTTCTTGTGTATTTCCTCAGTCAACCTTGTCAGTAAATCCTTTGCCATGTAAGTATTCAGGTCATTACTAGGGATGCAGCAAGGCACAAACATCATTGTCCTATAAACAAATAGCTGCTTCTTGAGTACAGCTTTTTTGCAGGCAGTTTGCACTGGTCTGACCATAGTTACAGGAGTCCAATTTATGTGTGGTGACTACTATTGATTGTTCACATAAAGTTTAAGCGTAAGAGCTGCTTAGATTGAAAACAAAATCCAAGACCCTTGCACTTGGAGTGATATTATTTATGGGAAGCTGTCCAAAGTACAAATGTGTCTCTTTAGAATGAGCTGTTTAGTGGGAGATCTAAACTCACAAGTTAAAAGTAGAGTAAGAGTAAGCACTACATTTTCTGAATGGAATATCCTGGCAGGTTGTTGTGTTCAAAGTAACAAAACATACAAATTATACAGGTACATGTACTATTGTTGTTCACCAAAGATTTAGAACCTTTAATTGCAACGGGCTCCACAAAGAGGAAGGCAGTATTTCATCAGTCAGATATAGCCGTCTCCAACACAGAATTTTTCTTCATCAGTGTATAGATAAGGGTCAGTGTAGTCTCAGTAGGTGACCTTTACCTTTCATCAGTGAGTGGAAGTGTCAGAGTCAGAGTTTAAACTAATAGAGGTTGAATTCCCAAACACAATCTGTGCAATAGTTGCTTTGTTTATACTCCCGCGTTTGAAGGTTTCTGAAATATTCTCGTTTATCTGTTTTCTTTTGTTTTTCCCCCCATTCACACCCCACCTCACGCCTTTGAATGGTTCAGCGGTCATATGAGGATTTGACAGTCAAGATGGTTATCACAAGGTGTTGAAGTTGAAGCTTCTAAACACATTTTTGTCCAAGAATTCTGTCAAGTGCCTCAAGATGTTTATTCAAAGGCCAGTTGGTTTTGTTTTCCACAAATACTTCCTCTCTTAAAAAGGTGAAACCTGATTTAGTTTAAGGTGTTTTTAGATACCTTAAAATCGTGATGTAGAAGTGACTAACTTGTGCCTTTTTAATTGCCTTAGAGTTCCACATTTGTACAAGTTTGCTAATACTGAAGCAGAAACAAAAACATCTAAATAATATATCTACACTGCATGCAACATTATGAGAATACACTTGCCAGAGTTGAATGCAAGTGATTAATTACAAGTCAGTTTTTTGCTTCAGAAAAGTATCATGACAGTGCTGGATTACCACATAAAACATTTTAGAATTGAATATAGACTCCAGATCAGGAAAATGTTCCTTAGGAGCAGTTCATCACTATGTATTTAGTGGTGATCCATTGAAATGATAGATTAGTTGACATAGAGTTACTTAATTATTTAAACTTCCTTAGGAGTGGAGACTACTCAGATATATAGCAGAAAGCTTGTTTCTAACTTAGAAGTATTGTTAAATTAAGAGAATTCCTGCAAAAAACATCTGTACATTGCTAATAGTCTTGGGAAATTAAGGTGTTACAAAGCCAAATAGAAACGAGTAAGACAGATTTCTGAAGCATGCTTGAAGAAATAAACAGCTGGAGTGCTGATCAATTAGTGTAATACAAAAAAGGAAATTCTTTTCATTCACTTATACAGTGATTGCTACCTTTTACTCTTTGAACTGCACCAGAGGTCTTAAATACTTAGGTCTATAGTATGTTCACTACGGAACTTCTGCATTCCTTGCTGTCTGATAAGACCCTCTCTGAATTGCATATACTACAGTAGGCATTAATACATATTTAATGATTAAATGTGTGTCAGACTAAAAAAAAGAATATTACCAAACGCACATTTTAATGTTTAATTTATTTTTCATGTCATTATCAGGAGAGCATTTCACTTTTTCCCCAAATTGGGAAAGCTGTTCTCAGTCCAGATTTATCAAAACCCAAACGCCCTAAGGAACCTTTTCCTAAAGTTCTGATATTATTGAAGCAAGGAACAATACTGTTTCTTTCCTTTTGAGAAGGCTTTGTAGGGAAACAGTGTGTTTGTCCTATATTTAATGTACCCAAAACATTTTTTTAATAAATCATTACTAGATTAATAAGCCATCTTCAATGTGCTTCAATTTGTGGAACTTTATGCATTCTTGAAACAAGCTTTAACAAACCTTATGAGTAAGAAGCTTTCTGATAATGGTTTTATGAAAAGAAAAATTTTAACAGGTAATCCATTTCACTGAGCAAATAATTGTGTGGTAGACACCTGGTGTGAGATCAATTGCACTTGCATCTACTGTAGATATTCAAACCTGGACTAAATCCAGCACATGCGTACTGTATACAGTACCAGTAGCCAGTGATGAGAAGGATATCAGAATAATTTGCCAAAGCCCAGTTTTATTTAGAAAGCTTACTGGGGTTCTGTTTTGTGCTTTTGTTGACTGTAAGAAGGTATCCTATACAGTAAGTCCAAGCTAGAATACTTGGGCTTGGAACTATAATGATAACGAATGCATTTTTGTCAGTGCTTTAATAATTATCCAACATATTTAAATTAGTTTGAAGTTAAAAAATGAAAGAATCATTATGCAGTTAAGCTAAATATGGCCTTTTGTTGTTCTTAAATTTAGTGGAATTAAGGTCATATGCACATCTATTAATTTCACATCTGCTCAACATATTCTCTCAATTAGGTCTCGAGTCAAATTCCAATGTGAATATTTCACCATATCCAAGCTGGCCTTCTAATTATGACCCCTTTGATTTTATGTGACCAATGTTAATAAATTTCATTATTCTGTTATTTCTCTGACTTTCAGTTCTTCACTAAGATGTGATGTTTGGTTTTTTTTTTTCACTTGCGTCAGTGCTGAAACTTCTAATTAAAGAATAATAAATGCATAATGTGGGTGGTGAAAATATTTATTGTTCCTTCAAAGTATTTTTTCTACACATTGTTTTGCAGTTTAAAATGGTTTTGGTGGAGGAGTAAGTGGGTGGTTTGATGAAGTAGAGGAAAAGTATTTTTCTGGGATGTGGGAAATTCACTGTCGGCATCCACTTAATTTGACTCCCAAGTCTGGCCTTTGAAGCAGGGACATTACTGTGAAAATATGCCATATTTACATACTGGTCTCCCACTACTATACACAGGTGTTTTCATTCCCATTACTTTAGTTACAAGGGTTTACATTACATCTCTGACATTCTTTCATAAGACATTTTACACACACTGGGATGGAATACTTTGCCAGGCATAAAGTGCCAAAATCTTGTCTTTTCTGTTCAGCATATAAATGTATGTCTAATAAAGTGACTGAAAGAGGTATATAAAGCCTTGCAGTGATTATTGTCATTAGTGACCCCAACACAACTCCGTGCACAAACCAGAGGACAGTCCAACACCACATCATCTGGAAGCCTGGCTTTGTGCAGAGCCTAATGCTGACACTCATGCTCAGTTTTTACCCCAGGCACAGAAGCATTGTGTGAAAACTGAATAGTTTAACTAGATTTGGGGGTGTTCGTTGTTAGAATATTGGACAGTGAGTAAGCTCAGCTGTTGTTTACAGGAAAATAGAGGGTGGGGAAATTATCAATCATTTACAGTAGATTCGCGATTATCCAACCTCAACGGGGCCGATGTATGTCGGATAATGTGGAACCTGAGTAGACAGATCATAGATTAATGGACGCGCAGTATAAGTATGAATTCTGGTTAATGAATCTACTTTAATACTAAAATAACAGAGTACAGAACTATTGTTAGTTATTATTTTAAAAAATGAGTGATTGGAATCTGTTTCCCAGATGTGCTTCTCTTCCTTGCGGCAAGGTCTCGCCAGCGTCTCAGTAACTTGACATCGACAGCAGTTGCCTCATCTCGTTGTTCAACGTAAGCTAGTGCCGCTTCGACGGCCTTGACCCCTTCGCTGTGCCTGATTCTTCCAGGTTTGTCGAGTCCCAGTGCTGACCCACCGTTGTCATCCTCATCGTCTTCATTGTTGTAAGATTATATTAAGGGAAAATACAATCAGAAAAATAATAATCATGAGGGCGTGAAATCCGCAAGTGAAGCTACAGTACATCAACGGCAGTACGTAACACATGGAGCGTCAGACTGGGCAAAATATAATGCAAGCGCACGCATTGTGTACAGCATATATTGTGCACTATGGTGATTAGCTATGTGATTGGCTATGTCGGATAAGGGAAGGTTGGATAATCGCGATTCTACAGTATTTGGATGCACTAGTAATGGACACTGAAATCTTCATTTTGGCAGACGTAACAAAACTTTGGTCGTACCCACAGTACTTTGATTTTTTGAGTCCCAACCTGGACAGGATGGATGGGATTTAGATGGTGACTTTAATTTTCTTTTGCACCTGGAATTATCAGTATATGACAACATACTATATGTCCAATGGCTAAGGATTACCTGGTGATATCTAACAGTGAAAGAGCTTCCAGAGTAATCTGTCCCCAGTTACGTGTGACCAGACGCTAGTTTTGAGATACATCCACAGTTTGTGTGTCGTTTAAAACGTCAGTGGTCAATCCATTGTATATTAAAGTAAAAATAGTGGGTAAGCCTTTGGACACATAACAGATGGGTATTGGGTTTGAGTCCCTGGTGCAGACAGACTACTGTTCCTGTCACTAGTTCAGTTAACACTCAAACAGAGCAGGAACCAGGGTGAGCTCTGGCTCAATGAGCTGCTGTGGCTCTCTGCTTTAAGGTAAAAGGTAAAAGGGCAAATGAAAAAATACTAAATAACTGCTAAACATGAAAAAAAACATCACAAGATATACAAGTGTTTTTTTTTCCTCAGTGAAACCAGTACATTGCTTGGGACCAGTCACAGCAGAGTCTACCTCTCTACCCTCTTACCTTTTCTTGTTTATTTAAAAATAAAAACGTTTTTTTTTATTGTTGAACAACCAATGTTCTTTCAGATTTACCCTCATTTAAGTGGTTGCGATGGTGCTGTGTAATATGTAATTAGAATTACTAGGCTTTATACCGTAAGAGATTAAGATTCCATCCCATGTTTTCATTTTAAAAGAATTATCACAGCTGTAGCTCAATGGGTATTTTCCAGAATCATTTTGCAACAACTTAAAAACCAAAACAGATTTACTATAGTACAATCTAAATGGATTAAATGACTTTCTCTCACTTGTATCCTACAGTACCTTAACTCATAATTTTCTTAATATTCTGCTCCTGGAAGAACCTTGCTTTTTGACATGGTAGGGACTGGTGCTGTAGCAGTTACAACATTTCAGCAGGAGCATATCTTTTGTTCAGTTGTAGCATACTTGCACACATCTGCCATACTCTGTACTGAAAAAATATTTCCATGAAAGAAAATTAAATTCGTGGACAGCCAGGGCTAAATTTATTTCAATGCTCATTGACCTCTTTAGTTGACAGCTGTGCTTTTGAAACTGTTGAGCTGCATTTATTTTTGCCTTGATTTCTTCTTTTATGGTTTTAGATTTACAAGGATGACTGAGGCTGCCCAGCTAGCACTCCTTTCAGCAGTATTGATGATTCAAGGTATGTTAAAATATTATTTCATGATTCAGTTTTCCAAAGGCAGGGAAATAGTCTGAAATTTGTCTGCTTTGATCAGGTCTGTTACATTTTCATCACTGTTTTATATTACAATTTCAATCAAAATAATAAATGTGATAGTTCATGGCATTATTTAAAGCAAACACAGTTTGAATTGGGAAGTTCAACCAGTTGTCACAACCCTAAAGCCAATTAAATTAGCTTATTGATGTTCTAATTTTATAATAAACGCAGAGAAGGTAATTTGTTACCATATTATTCTATAGCAGTTTTGTAGAATAGGCAGACTTTTTTTTGCTTCGAAAACGTATATTTAAAAGTTTTTATTTTTACTTTTCAAATGACAAGGAGACATATTTCAAAGAGCAGCAAATCCCCACAGATATCATTATTTTTATATTTCGGGGTTAGAAAGAATCAGCATTGATAAATGAATGTGTGAAAAACACAATGAAAGTAAAATGTACACAGTAATGTGTAGAACCTCTGATTTACATGACAAAACAGACAAAAGCATGGTATGAGCAGTGCCATATTCAGAATGGGGCAACAAAACATCCACTTTTTTTGTGAAATGAAGCGACCCTTTTACATTATAAACAAGCAGGCTTCTTAATACATCTCTTTCAATCCAATAGAAATATTGCTCTCACCTTCGAGACGGTTTTGTTGACCAACACTACATTGGAATATTAGAACATTTCTGTGGTGAAATATCTGCTGCACAACTCATACTTATTCGCTCATACATAGCATTACTTTAATCATTAGTCACTAGTGAGCAGGAAGGGCCGCATCACATTGCAATTTTTCCGAACTCTCTCGTACCTCATCTGTTGCAAGACGAGTGGTTTGCGACAACAATGACAACCATACAGAACTTTCAGAAAGTTCACGATTAGTAAAAATGTTCTATTCAATCAATTAATTTATTTTGTTACCAAGATTTCATAGACGGTCTGAAAAATTTGGACTGCAGTCCCTTTCTTAAAGGGAGGTTAGGCTTTTTAAAGGGGAGGCCTTAGCTGCAGTTAGCTCATTAAATCCTAACCTTTTTAAAGCTAAAAAAACATTAGAAATTCACTTGAGGACGGAGTAGGGCAATTATGAGATTAATTACAGCAAATGGATGATGTAATTGGGCTGCTGATGACCAGTCTCAGGAAACCCCTGCACTAGGCTGCGTGCTGGCTAAGTTAAATGTATTCACTGCTATTTATACAGGTCCTCACAGAGCAGTTGTATGTCCCTGGCTGACTTCAGGCCTACCCCCAGTCACACAAACTAATACTTCAGTGACTGAGATTGATTAGGTCACCTGTCACCCAGGAGCTGTCAGCTGCTTTACTGAGAGCACTGATTCTGTCTTGCTATTAAAGAGTGAAGAAACCCAGCTGGTAAATTACAGTAAACAGAACATTGAAACAAAAAATACAAGACACGGCACAGGTCAAATGAAATAAAATAAAAAAGCCACGCTCCTCTACTGCAAAAGCAAAACAAGAAACCAAACCACAAAGACAACACGAACAAAACAACAACACAACCCGCCAAACAAAAAAACAAAAAATAAAAAGAAGAAAAAAAGTAAGGTGCCTCTCCCAGGACAAAAGAAACGAAACGTATACTAATGGATTACCTGGCATATTGAATAATTTTTGTGTGGAGGTGGGTGAGTTAAAATGCATTGGGCAGCATGTTAAATGTGATGTTACCGAGTGAAACTGATTTGAGCAAACTTTCAGGGCTTTTTGTAATTCTTAAAAACCTCCAGAATGTGATGAAGCAGGCAGCCCAGGATAATAATACTATTGTAAGGTCAGGGTGATTTTGTATCATTTGAAATTTTATGTTATAATGCTCGATAAGAAGTCTATTGTTTTGTGTGGCATATGCATGACAGTTATGTGTCACACCAAATTACGCGAAATACACACAGATGCCAAAACAACCATCTTAGTTGCCTCAGGGTTTGGAGAATGGTATTCTCTCGCAGCATGAAATAGTACATTGGCATGAGATGTTCCTTGTGAGTGAGAATTAAATTGAAAATGTATCCTGTGAAAATTTCAATAGGCTGACAACGAGTAAAGAACAAATAGATGTAAGATGGGTGACACAGTGGCACAGCAGTTAGCATTGTTGCCTCGCTTCGCTGGGGTCCTGGGTTCAACTGTGGACCTGGGAGGCTATCTGCGTGGAATTTGTACTGTATGTTCTCTCCATATGGGTTTCTTCCTGGTGCTCCGGTTTCCTCCCACAGTTCAAAAACATACTGATTGGTTAATTGTCTTCTGGAAAAAAATGCCCCTGGTGTGAGTGTGTGCATGTCTGTGCATGCCCTGCAATGGGACTTTTGAACTCATGACCATAACCTTTTGGTATTCGTCATAGTATACGATAATGTGACAAAATGCTCTCAAATCATCCTTATAATACGACCTAGTGTAGACTGTGAAGTCCAAAGGTGAATGACCTGGTGACTTAAAAATAATTCACTGGTATGAACATTTCTAGGCTGGGAGCTAGTGTTTGTTTAAGTCATTCTTTCCTTTGCAGACTAGTCCTGAGCAGACCTGTACAGTCAACTCTGCAAATAAGTCCTAAAACCTCAAAGTTTACTAAAGTGCTAAACTGTGGGTCACTCCATAACGTATTGGAAACCACCTTCATTTTTGTGGAAAACAATGTAAAATTCCTTTCATGTTTTCTTATCTGAATATGTCTGCTCTTATTTAAGGCAACAAACAATACTTTTATGATCAGTTGTTTGAGTTAAATCTGTACTGTATATCATCTGCAATTTGCTAAAACCTAAAATGGATAGTACTAATGTTTGCTGGGGTGCGTTATTTTCCTAAGGTACATTACATGAATTATGGGAACCAGAGATTTTACAGAATCCCTAAAAATCCCTGTTTTTACATTTACTATGACATTTACTAAGCTTTGTATGGTTGTGATGCTGCAGTATAGTCTCTTAAACTGAAAGTTGCCTCCCTTTAAAAAGTAAACAGCACTTCTCATTGATTCTTCAGTAGATCACAATTTAGCTAAAATAATTTCCCTCTTGAGTTCTGAATGATTTATACAGTATTTAAGTTGAACAATTCTAAACATTGTGCTTGTGATTGTGAAGTAAATGCATTTATTCATTGGGTATGAAAACTGGTGAAGACAACCATGAAAAAATAATAAATCCTTTATAGGCTAAATTGTGAAATTGCAGGACCAAAATTAGTTAAACCAGATATCAGACTGTTAGACAGTGTCGCCTATGAAGTCTATGAGGTTTTGATCAGGTACAACACTCAGCAGTCATTAGGTTAAGTCAAAATCAGCTCCCCTTGTTTTGGTATCAGTTATGTTGTTATATTTTTTAACTAATTGGCTTCTGAAAAAATCTAGGAGCTGAAGAGCTTTTGCATGGAGCAGAATATCTCCCATGAGAAGTTAAAGAACCTGCTAAAAACTTACAAAAAGCATCTTCTCAAAATGTATAAAATGCAGATTACCAGGGTATGATTAAATTTGAACATCATACACTTAAAAATGCAGGTCTTTCTGATGTTCTCTTATATTTAATTATATATGTCTACATGCAGCATTAAAGGCCATTTTTAGTGTTTGTTTTGTATAAAACACATTTTTGGGTTTGAGTGGTAAATTACATTTTTGTTACAGATTAATAATGTGACAATTGGACGCTAATGTAGTTTTTTTCAGGAAATATAGGTGATTGTCTAAAAATACATTTTTAATACAGTGATGTTTTAGTAGTTGAACTTAGTCAGTTAAGTAGCCTTGTTACTTTCATTAAGAGTAGGTCTCACTGAGAATCAGACTATAATCTAATCTTGGCGGTAACCTTACAGATGGCAGAATTTGATAATCTGTCAGGTGATAAGACTTAAAAGGCATTCCAGTTTCATAACAACTTGGCATATCATGCTGAAGCATGTGTATCTTGCGCCTTGTAACTAACGGTACTGTATATTTATTAGGTTTGTGAAGTATATATCTCACTGTTCTCCATAGGTTTAGTCCATTTTTACCCTTCAAATAGCCTTCAAATTATGTATTACTTCACCATGATAAAATGGAAACTTGCATTTTGTAAACCGGTTTTTAGAAACATCAAAGTTATGTGAAGAGTAGAAAATTGGAACAAAACAGGATAACACAACATACTGCACACCCTCCAGATTTCCACCACGGGAAATGGTTATTATACAGATACTGATTCACCTGTCAGCTGCAGCACTCTGAGCACAGCCTATCCCCACCCCCCTCCCCCCTCTTCAGCACCATGGGTCCAAGCCGTAGAGTGAGAGAGCTCTATACAAATAATACAAAGGTAAGAAAGGTAGGAGAGGATCCAATGATCCCAGCACAGCCCTAACACCTTTTTAGCTGTGGCAAAATATATTGATGGAAAAAAGAAACGCAACACCTCCTCCTCCACACTCTGGCCCTCCCTTCTGTGTGGAACAGGCTGAAGAGTGACTCATCCGTGAAGAGGACCCGACGCCACTGCTGACGAGTCCATCGCAGCCTCTGTCTGGCCTAAGCGAGTCGGTTGTGACATGTAGGAGCTGTTAGCAGAGCGCCTCTGACAGGTTGTCTTGCTCTAAGGCCAGCAGCATGGAGCCTCACTGTCCTGTCACTGATGCGGGCATTGTGTCTGCCGGCAGATTCAGCAGCAGTGGGGGTGGCAGATCTGAAACGATCTCTCAGATGGACCAGTCTGATGTGTCGGTCCTGCTCTGGTGTGGTCACTCGAGGGTGATACAGATCTTGGACTGTTATCTGTCCTGCCGGTTTGCTGAAAACTTCTCTGCAGTCGGGACACAGTGGAGTGGCTTACTCCATAGTGTCTGGCAACGCTGGGACATGACATGCCTGTCAGCAGTATGCCAATGGCCCTCTCCCTTGCTTCTGGTTACATTCGAGGCATTATAGATTCCAATAATAATTCCATA